CCCCCCCCCGGTCCCCAAGGCTTTCCAAGATCCCGGACGAGCTGATGGCTTTCTTGCATCAATGATCAGCCCGGGATATAGAACAGTTGTTAAAACAAGCCACCGATGACGCATGCAGTTCTCGGGCTACCTCCTACCCGTGCCGTCCTACCAAGACACCCTCTCTTCTGAGGAGAATCGACGACCAAGCCCACCATCCCGTCGGCCGCGGACTCGAGGCGAGCTGGAAGAGTAAATGCAGCGATCTCAGCCTGGGATAAAATAACTCCCATTTAAGCTCTCGCCCCTCCCGGCGCGCCGCGGGAGCTAACGTAGCGTTTAACACGTATTCATAGCGCAAGGCTCTGAATGGGTGACATCTGTCTTCTCCAGCAAAAAGAATGAGACATTCTATAAATCATGCAGCAAAGACAACTTTCCATCTCTGCGTTTTCATTGGTTCCTGCGTTCGGCACCTCAGCCCTGTGCAGTTAGAGACCGAGCCACATTGCCCTCCCCGCTATCCCAGGTCTTTTTTCTCTGATCCGCCGAAAACCCCGTCTTCCTCTGCCTTTGTTTCTCGCAACATCCCGGTCCAGCTGAAGAAAGTATGCACAGCCCATCGGCTCCTCGTTGCCGGATCCACCAGGGCGGCGGCGGCGGCGGTAGGAGAAAAGGGTCGTCATAGATTGGTCGCGTGGTTGGTCGCAGTGTTTCCTCTTGCCAAGCACAACTCGACAAACGATCAACCTCTCCTTTTTGATGATCCTAGCCATGCTTCCGTCTCAAAGATGCAGGTGACGCGCATATGAAAGTTACTTCTCCGTTTCAGCAAGTAGCATCTTGGATGACAAACATGACTGAGGCCTCCGACGGCAACACATCCATCAACCGATGACTTGGCCCTTGGAGTGGAAAGCTCTTGAAGAAAAAGTCATTCAAGTTTCAGATATCACAATTTGCAACATATAGTCATAGACAAATGGTATAATTGTAAACCCATCTCTGAAAAAGGAGGAAAAAGCGCAGAACCGACCTATACCCAGAAAGACGCCATGCAAACAAACTCTCATACAGACATTTCAAAACTACATCACAAACCCCCAGGCAACGCCTCCTAACGTGGCTCCGAGTAGTCGTTGAGGGCCACGCACACGGCGCCTCTGTGATGCCCGTTGTACTGCCGGATGATCTGCTGGCTGTGCAGCTCCCAGAGGCGAGCGTAGTGATCCGAGCACGCCGTGACGAGGTACGCAGAGTCCGCGCTGAACGCGCAATCCCATACCCAGCGCTGGTGGCCCGTGAGCGTGGCCTCGAGCGGCAGCGACTTGGGCGGCTGCAGCTCGCCGGGCTGCCCCTTCTGCGGCTGCTGCGACGTGCTGTCCCGGATCTCCCAGATCTTGGCCGTGTGGTCGGCGCTGCACGTCGCCAGCTTCTTGACGTCGGGCGAGAGCAGGATGCGGGTGATGTACTCCTTGTGCGCGGAGAAGTGCGTCACCGGGACCATGCGGGTGCCGTTGTACTCTTGCTCAATCTTCCAGATGAAGACGTTGCCCTGGAGGGGGTAATGAACATTAGCAACAGGCAGCACAAGGAAGGGGGGGGGAGCTCACGCTGTTGTTAGCGGCGCACAGTAGCGAGCCGTCACTCGAGACAGTAACGCTCGAGACGGACACGTCGGCCTCGGGCGTCAGCTCGTGCGCGCACGTATTCTCCGCAAGGTCCCAGACGCGCACGTAGCCGGAGCGGTCGCAGCTGATGATCTCGCCCTGGTCCGGGTGGATGACGACGTCGTTGGCCGGGCAGCCGTGGTTGTAGCTGCGCTGGATGGCGCCGGTGCGCGTCTCCCAGATTTTGACGGTGCCGTCCTCGGAGCTCGTCACCATCCACTTGCCCTCGCAGTGGAACGCGACGCCGGTGACGTTGCCCGTGTGGCCCTCGAACGTCAGCACGGGATTCGGGTTCGTCGACTTGATGTCGTACAGCTTGATCGCCTGGTTGCCCGCGGCGGCCAGGTAGCGCTTGTCGGGCGAGATGCACAGGCGGTTGACCTGCGAGTCCGGGTGCTGGATCGTGCGGGAGCAGATGCCGGAGAGGGCCTCCCAGAACCTGGTCGTCGTTGGACGGGGCGGCGGCCCAGGGGATCGGCCGTGGGAGCGGAGCTTGCCTGATTGTGTGGTCGTAGCCGGCTGAAGGAGGAATTGTCAGCTGGGTGCTGGGACGAGAGGGGGGATTGAGGACGAGAGGAGCTGGAAAGCTTCCCACGCGACGAACCTGTGCAGAGAATCACCGACATGGTGGGCGGTGCATGGACGGGCCAGCTATCCTGAGATGGCGAGGTGCGTAGCTTGTGATGATAGGAGTTCAGGGTCGGTGATAGGAGGCAATGGTACGCAGCGCAGGCGGACGCAGGATGCAGGATGCAGAGCTGTCGCGGCGATGATGTTGTTTGATGTTGCGTTTGCGCCAATGAAGCTAGAGGCAGCGCCGCTTGATTCCGGGTAGGAACCTCTAGACCTTGTGTGGAGCCCTGCATCATGGTTGTATCTTTGACCTCACGTCGCGTACGCTAGGTAAGTAGTACAACAAGGATTACCGTTGTCGAAATAAATGGTTCAAGGAATAAAAAATGGTATTTCCTATAACTGGAGCACGTCTATGAAGTAAACCTCATCATCAAAAGTGTTGGCTTGGTCCTCGCCGTATCAAAAGGAGGACCTTCCACATCCAAATATGATGTACTCAGCTGCTTTGTTTCGTCAAACGTAGGATTGGACAAATCCAAGCGAATTCATGTTCAACACCAGTTTCTTTGCCGTGTATGACATGTACTATGTAATGTAAAGGCCCTTCCTCCTTGGACCTAAATTTCAGAAAAAATATCGAACATCATTATTCAAGAAAGAAACATGAATATCCTTCTCAACATCACCCGCTTTGACAAATTACTGCTGCTCCTCCGCCCCTTCAATCCGGTCAATTTTGCGCTTCTTTGCCGGCGACTCCATCTCTGTCGACGGAATCACCGCCTCCTCGCCTCCCACCACCACCGGTGCGTCGCCATTCACGACGCCGTTCCCCTCCGCCTCGGCGTCCGCCTCTGAGCCGCACCCCCCGCGGAACTTGCCCAGGAGCCTCGACAGGCCCGGGATGCCGAGCCCCGCGAAGTTGCGCCCCGCCGCCTCGCGCTCGCACAGCTCGATGACGGCGCCGATGAGGTCGTGGTTGATGTCGTCGCCGACGACGCTGTCGTGCCGGTACGCCGGGTGCGCGGCCACAAAGTTGCGGATCCAACGCGCGGCCGTGTCGAGCTCGCCGCTCGCGCGCTTGCTGACCAGGCTCAGGTACGTCGCCAGCTCGCAGCGCGTCTCCACGTCGACGTTGACGCTGTCGAGGTAGCTCTCGACGATGGGCACCAGCCCGGGGAACGCGCCGTCCGCGGAGCCGTTGACGATCTCGTCGATGCTCATCTCGGCGTACTCCAGCTCTACGGGCCCGCCGCCGCCGGGTGAGCCGGGTCGGCTGGGGTAGCGCGAGCCCGGACGGCTGCTGCCGCCGTTCGTGCCGTTGGGGGCGGCGTCGTCGCCGAATACAGTGTTGGCGCGCGAGGGCCGGCTGGGAAAGACGTTTTTGCGGAAGTAAAACTTGTCGTGGAGGACGGCGTCGAGGTTGTGCGCGCGCTCCATGTTCTCGTCAACCTTTTTGATGGGAATGTAAAAGTTGAGGTCAAAGGAGAGGATGGCACGGGTGAGAAGCACCATGAAGACGGAAAAGGCGGCGTTTTCAAAGTCGGTGACCTGAATCTCCATGGATCGGAACTCGACGCGCCAGCCAATGTTGTTTTCCGCGGGCGGCGGCTTGAACCGCATGTGTTGCCAGTTGGTCGATTGTATGTTCTCGAAGTGGTCCGTCTTGCTGAGGTCAAGCTCCTGCAAATCCTCTTCGAAGATGACAATGGGGTCGCGGATGAACAGGTGAGCAAAGTGCGTGGCCAGTCGGTCATCCATACCACCGTTGATGAGCTCCGCCTTAATCTTAGGGTCAACCACGAGGTCTGGGTCCATGTACTCTTCCCGTAGTCTGTGATCCAAGGAGATATAAGTAGAGTTTGAAGCGTATCGGGACTTGGGGATCCTCCAGCGGTCATTCTTGAGTGGCTTTTCTCCTAGTTCCTCGGGCGTTCTACAATCGACAGCTCTGCTGATCTGGTTCCACCTCACGTCGGTACCGGCGAGGAAACCCTTGTAAATAGGAGTAGCTGCCGTCAGCGCAAGCATGATGGGACCCAGTGGGCTTAGTTGATCGTAGAGAGTACGGCCCTCGTTGATATTCTTGGCCTGGAATGTAATTTGCAGACAGCAGCTACCCATGCCAAAGGCCATGGCATCCATGTGGATGAAGTTGTCCGGAGCGGCGCCGTTGCGCACGTCATCGTCTTCAGGAAACTTGTGCAGATCATAGTTGACCGTGGGATCTTTCCATGGATTGGGCGTGTTCTGGTCGTGAAAGATGGGAACGTTGACTTGGACTTTGCGGCCTCGCCGAGAGCGTATGTTGGCAGCCAACGTGGGGAAGCGGATATGAGGGTTGGCGATTTCGTCAGGGACAAACTGGGATCGCAGCTTGTCGCCAGAGGGAGGGTAGTAAGGGTCGGTAAACTGTCCTGGAGCGCCAATGCGGGGGTATGTGGTGAGAGTGATGGGGTATTCGGAGGTTAGCATGTGCTCCTTCGCAATTTTCCGACGCAGCTTCATGTCCGGCTCAACGCCGAGAAGCTCTTTGAAACCAATGCCCCAGGGCTTTCCGGGGGTGGCCTCGAGCATGAAGCGGCCAAACTCTGGGTGGAATACGGGAAGAGTATTGGATCTGTTCATAAATGTTAGCCACTGGACTTGTCGTGCAACGGTACACTATACGTACTTTTTGCCGTCCGTGTCCTGAAGCGCTGGCACGCAGCCGCCCTCTTTGGCAAGATCCTTGTCTGCGGCTAGGGCTTTGAGGATTTCGGCCTGTCGCAGAGACAAATACACCTTTTCATTGTCCTTTGTATAGTTGACAACTAGGTATTCAACCTAATAAGTGGTTGAGGCGGTTAGTGTGCGAGTGCATGACTTCATAATGAGTGGCCTTACTTCATCACCCCAGAGCAGAGCATCGCGTTCCTTGCCCTTGGCTTTGTTCCAGATTTCCAGCAGTTGCTGCGACCAGTGTCAGATATGATATAATATGAGCGCGGCCGGGGGTTATATACACACCTTGATGCCCCATTCGCGGACTTGATCGGCGCGCTTCTTGGCCTCGGGCCACTCCAGTGCGGTTCCCAGCGCACTGTCTCGGCAGAGTCAGTAAACAGCCTCACTCAGGTGGCGCAAGTGTTTGGAAAGTCGAGTTGGACTTTGAAGAAAGCTCGGACTTACAGCAAGCCCATGGTGGCGATGAGAGGGAGAGATGTGTGACTGTTGAAGAAACGCGGAGAGGTTGATAGGGCGCCGGGTACAGCTAAACGCAAGCGGCCGTATATATGACGCAACCTGCGACAGGCAGGTCTAGCCGCAGCGTGGTGAGATGCGGACAACGACGACCCGGCCGCAAAATAAATAAGAAAATGCAGCGCAGTCCAATGAGGTCTAAAGGAACGGGTGGTCGGAGGGCCAAGATATAAAAAGAGAGCAGCGGGCGGAGGGCAAAAAACGGGTGGTGGGCGGAGATGGACGATTTTTAGCAGCGTCCGGCCGGCCGACTTGTGAAAATGCGGCGGCGGGCTTTGTGCTGGCGACGGCCCGGCAAGAAGGACTGGCAGCTGGCAGGGCTGTTTGCACTTTTTCTCTTCTTCAGCAAACACTTTTCCTCCAAGTGCAACGAAATCAGAACCAAAGGCTATTTTTCTTTTGCTCACAGTCTTGACCACAAGGAATTCCGCTGATTACAAAACCAAACAGGCTGAGAGGCACGACTTCCTAATAGAAATACACATCGGGACGCTAGCCCCTCGGAATGGCTTTCGCAGCTCAATTTTGCAGCGAAACATTGGTGGGGGCAATGGCTTAGGCCCCCTCCGAAAGGATTTTTTTTTCGCGGTGTCAGTGGTTTGATTTTATACGATGCTTAGAAATCCAACTACAGAAATCTGCGTATGCTGACTCTGGATTCCTTGATCGTTCTCTGGTCGGCAGCAGGATGCCGCATCTGCCATGCAGAAGATGAAAACATCAAAGACATCGACCAGAGAACTACTTCTACCTTTTCCCAACTGCTAGCAACTGCTGGGTCGACGATGAAATTTAAGGTTTCTCATAAATCAAGCAAACAAGTCGGTTATCATGTGACCGGCTCCGCGACTGCCAGCGCCGACCTTACACTGTGTCGGCATGACGACGGAAACAAATAACCAACGTACCGGACTGTCGGGCGCCATTACCGTCAAAATGAGATTACAGGTGCGGCCCGCGCTTCGGATCGTCGTGGCGGCAGTCCGGACTTTGGTTTTCCTTTTGCCTCGTGCTTTACAAATGCAAGCCGCAAGACAAGGGTTGCCTGCTTACAAGGCCAACGCTCAGGAGGGCGCTGGGCGCTGGCTGGCTAACCGGGGCGGTACAATAAGTAAGCGGCAAAAGAGGAGCAAGGATGGGTCAAACGGCACCTGAAGTGCACGACTCCTAGTCCGAGGCTCGTATACAGGTAGTTACTTGTGTACGCCATGTCGCAGGCAGAGTTCAGAAGACTGTGCCGCAAGACATTGGATGAATCTTGAAGGACCTGGGAATCAGTTGCAGCGGGGTTGAAACGACGGGCCGAACCAGATGGGTGTTCTGAGTCTGGGCGAGTTTAATTACTTGCATGTGCAAAGTCTACGCCGGCGTAACGATGTCGAGAATCCGGCTAGAATAAGTACGACGGATAGCAATTTACCAGTACATACTCTATAGAGGTGGCCTCAGCCACCGTATGCTAGGTAGTACTGGTAATAAATATGTGTTCATGCAGCGGGGCATCTTTGCGCAGAGAGTTAGCTCAGATAAATATTAATATTATGCGGACACTCTCGGATGAGTAAAGCATTAACGTCTTGTCTATTGTTCTTCTTTGCAACCTGTGGCGCAGGGTGGTGAAGTGATGAAGTGCGCCGCTCTCCGCCTGGATGACCTCGGCGACCTCGATAACAGTATAACCCGATACAAGCATCTCTGATGACGGGTTAGATGAATATCTTTCTAGTAGAAGGGGTAACTACCATCGCTAACCTGGCCCGTGAACCCCTGCAGCCTACAGTAACAGGTTAGTGTCTTGTACCTCGCTTAAAACGTACTAGCGCCACCTCCGCCTCCTGCTAGCTCTCCCGCTTCTCTCTCACTGAATCAGTCACTCGTCACTCGTCACCACCAAGGCAACGGCACCACACCACTTCACTGCCAACACTACTAACTTAACTACTACCTTTACCTACACCACAAGCTAGCAACGCTTGTCGCCCTTCGGTCCTCATCACCCACCCCCTCTCTGAATAATTATTTTCCGCAACACCCTATCCTAACGCTCATCATCGCGGCTTCACTCGTCTAGAGCAGAATCGACTCGATCGAATCGTTGCCGTCTTGACGGTGACGCACCACCTCGACCCCGCTTTCTTTCTCCTCCAACAGCGACTTTTTTTTCCTTCTTCCAACCGCGCAGACTCTCCTGACAGCCCAGAAGAGCCGGTTGATTCGGCAATTTCGCCCCTCTCCCTCCAGTCAAATTCTCACTTCTTTTCTTTCCATCATACGAAACGAACATCATTGAACGCAGCCATGAATCCCCTTCTTCAGAAGAACAAGATTGACGTCAAGGTAAGAAGAAAAATGTTTGCTACCACGGCCACTCTCCCAACACGGACGCGGACAGCCAACGCCCCACAGCTTGACGAGCTACCATCACAAGAGCAACGACAATCTATTAACCAACATGGCTAACCACCTCTCCCCCCGTCGCAGTCGCTCTCCCCGGAGGAGCAGCGCCTCTTCCGACTGTACGGCAAGCTCCCCTCGCGGTCCGACCACTTCGCCAAGCACCTCAAGGAGCGCAAGTACTTTGACTCGGGCGACTACGCCATGTCCAAGGCCGGCAAGGGCGACAGCGTCGACGCCGGCGCCGTCGGCTCCGAGCACCCCGTCCCCGAAAACATCCCCCACCTCTCGTCGCCCGTCAGCACCGGCACCAACGGCGGCGCTAGCGCCATCCCCAAGCACCTCGGCATCGGCGGCGCCAGCGCTCCCCCCGGCACCGCCGCCGCCGCCGGCATCAGCACCGTCGGGAGCTTCCACGCCGGCAGCCCCGTCAAGGAGAGCAGCTTCCTCCACCGCGAGACGTCGGCGAACGAGACCGAGGACGCCGAGCAGACACCCGCCGCACAGGACAAGACGGCGGAGGCCGTCGCGGCTGGGGGTGCTGGCATCCCCATCCGCAGATAGGAGATCTGGTCCTCGTTCTCTCTGCATATATTCAATTTGTGCCGATGAAGCGGTAGCTTGTCTAGGCTTCGCTCCGTCGCGCAACCCCCCCCCTTTCAGCTTGCGGCTCAAGAGGGATTCTGGAACGCTGTACAAGAATGACGCTTCCTTTCTCGACCAAGGCCCTCTTTCTTTGCTTGATCCCAACTACCGGACACTCTCTTTCACCTTCTCTTCTCTCTCAATATGTTATTTACCACGTTTTGCTGCACAGTGCTGGCGTTTCGTTTTTACTTTATTTTTTTGGAGGCTCATCTACACAAGCAATTTGATTGTGCGCTCACGAACGGTGGCCCCTCTCTGCATCTTTCTTTTGTTTGCTCGGGTCGTTTTTTGTTTATTTATCTACTGTCTTTCCTGTGCGCAAGGGTCTTGGTCGCCTTTGCGTACTGCAGTGCGTGAGCGACTACTGGCTGGCTCCATGACGGAAAATGCGCGAGGGGGGGGAAACAGGAGAATCATCATGTACGAGGAAAGAAAGCAATGGGAGGTTTTGTCACGCAAGGGGCCGAGTTTGTCGCCTGTTGGTAAGGATCGATTACTCTGTACTTTTGCTCGTCAACACGAAGGTTCGATGCACTTTGCAGTTGTAGTTGACCGATAACTTGTCTCGCAAACCCAAAAGTGCCTTTGCCTTGTTCTCCATCTCTGCCTTGTACTATCTTGGCAATTCCATCCTGTGCCTTTCCCGATATGCGTAGAACAAAACCTAATAAATCAGAATCCAACGGTGTGATTTTTTTATTGAGCCTTGTTTTGCTGTTTCGTTTTTTCATTATAAACAACCACTATACCCCGCCTATACGGCGAGGGCCTTGGTCACCATGGCCTTGGCGCCCTCAAACGTCTTGTTACCGCCGATGAAGCCGGCGGCGTGGACAAACACGCAACCCTCGACGCCAGCGATGCCATCAAGCTCGGCGTCCCTGAAGCCGCGCCAGGCCTCCGGCAGGGGCTTGCGGCTGACGAACGAGTCCTTGGACTCGGGCACGCACTGCACGCGCCACTTGGCGCCCGGCTCGGGCTTCTCCTGGTAGAGCACGTACAGCACCTTGCCGGCGCCATCGCCGCCCTCCTTCTCGAGGGTGTAGAGGTGGTCCTTCCAGGGCACGCTCTGGCCCTCGAGGATGAGCACGCGGCCCTGCGCGTCAAACTCGGCGCGCTTGGCAAAGGCGACCTGGACGACGGCGCGCGCGGGCAGCCACGCGGACGCGTAGTAGTCGACCTCGCGGTCAAACTCCTCGCCGATGCGGCGGCTCGCCGCCAGGAAGCGCTCGTCCTCGCGGCGCTGCGCCGCCTCGGGCGTGTCGTCCGCGGGCACCGGGTCGTTCCAGCTGGAGTTCAGGCGGCCGACCAGCGCGCCGAGGTGAAACCCGCCGTCGGAGAAGCGCCTCTCCAGCCGGAGGAGGAGGGGGGGGGAGGGGAAGGGGAAGGAGAAGGTTGTCGTTGTTGTTGCAGGCGCTGGGCGATGATGGCGCGGCCAAAGTGGAGGAAGACGAGCCCGGCGGAGGACAGCTTAGTGGCGCGGCCGGGAAAGGTGGTGGTGAAGCCGCGCTGGTGGTGGTCGTAGCGGTGGCGGGCGGCGTCGTACTCGCCGCCGACGTCGACGACGGTGTGGCAGCCGGCGAGGGTTGCGGGGTCGCGCGTGCGGACGAGGGAGGCGGAGGCGTAGGCGGGCAGCTGGCGGAGCATGTGCACGGCGAGGGCCTCGTCGGCGTGGAAGTGCCCGCTGTGGGTGCCGATGAGCAGGCCGCTGCCCTCGTCACCGGTCTTGAGGCGCTTGGAGGCCGACTCGACGGCGGCGGCGGCGGTGGCCATGGTTCGCGATGCGGTGGTGATGGTTGTGGTGGTGGCGATGCTGGTGGAGAAGGCGCGGCGGAAGAGGAGGCGGTGCATGGACTGAGGGCAGGAGGGATGGAAGAGAGAAGTGGTGGTACAAAGCTGAGAGAAGAGGCCAAGGTGGAGGGAGAGCTTGGCTTGATTTTTGGAGTTGAAGATTCGAGGAGCTCGCAGCGATGTGGGGTTGTGAAAAAAGGTGGCACTCTGAAGGTGGATCTGGGTGAATGATTTTGGGTGAAGCCATTAACAATCACCATGTCATCTCGGTCCTGCAAGGGTAAACACTGGCATTTTGGAATCTTGTAGTAAACAATCAATTTATTTTTGTTTCTGTTTTCGTGTTTTTCTTTATGCTATTTTCCGATTTCTTTTTTTTTTTGGCCCTATGACCGAACGTGCGTTACCCATCTGTATACATCTCAGAACAGTGCAAGGACAAGTCACACCGTGAACAAGCTATTTCGACGCCGCATCCTTGGGCGGCCGCGACAGACCCTCGACGCCTTGCCGTCCGACGCTCGCCATGTCGGCGTCCTCGCTTCTCTTGGTGGCCGCCCCGCGCAGTCCCGTCGTCGAGGCGGCGTCCGAAGTACCGCTGACACGACCGCTGCCGACGTTGACCGCGCTCGCGTCCGCCGAGTTGGTGTCCGGTGCCCGTGGGGGATCCTCGGGAAGCGGCAGGTTGGCCTGCGCGCGGTCGATCTGCTCAGCCTTGGACTCGGGCATTGTAGCAAGTGGAATGGGTTGTCTGCTTGCGTCTGGTCAGCGACGTGGTTCTTGGGGCGTTGCGAAGCCTCGTTGACGTAGGCGGTTCCGTACGTACGTACAAGGTTGATGTGGGTTTAGTTTTGGCGTGGATGATTTCCGTGTAGGTTGGCTTTGCTCGTCTTGTGCTCTTGCAAGTTGACCGAGATGTTCTTATACATGTCGGTGATGTCGCTGTCTGACGTAAAGCCCCCCACAAAATTGGTTTGAGGCCTTCGTCATCTTGACGTTGAAAAAATGCCCACCGTATAATATTGGATACCCGTCAACCCATTTAAACAACAATTGTGATGTCTTTCTTGAGACATGCTGTACTGGACACTCGGAGCGTCTTCTCCGACGTGGGCAATCTGAGATCCAGATGTCGAGGACCATCTCCACAGAATGATATCACCGCCGTCCATTGCGGCCAAGGCTATAAAGCAAGAGCACAATTGTTCTAGAAATTGTTGGAAAAGTACCAAGTAAACTTCGGGTAAAATCTTAATATTAAGGGGCTGATTTTCTCGGCCAGCAGGAGACCAAGCCGCCAAATCGTGTCCGACAAGTCAGCAACCTGGCGCCGACCAGCTGCTACACATGCCACTGTACTGTCCAATCTCGCGTCCAGAGTAATAGTTTCTTTCAATTTATTGAGACCATCCATATGCCATTCATAAACACTCTAAAAAAAACGCCGATTCGGTTGCCCATTTTCTCACACAACAGGCGTGCAAGTTCGTTACCACATTAGAAAAACAACCCCTTGACAAAGAATACGCGCGAGGAAAGCAAAAGAAAACAAGGAAAGGAAAGGAAAACCTTGGCACCAAGGCTAGGTCATCCGCCGGTCATTGTCCGCACTCGTCGGCTCCGCCGTGTCCCCCTTGAGGTAGTCCTGGTCCTCGGCCGCCTCGTACTCGGCGATGAGGTCGCCCACCACCTGCCGCGCCTCGTCAAACTCGTGCAGGTTCTCCGAGAAGGGCGCCGTCTTCTTGTAACCCTCCATGAAGGCGTTGCGCTTGCGCATGCCGTCGTACTGCTTGACGATGCGCCTAAAGAGCTACGGTACCATCATCATCAGTCCGGTTTCGCCCTCTAGACAATTGCAAGGTAGACAAAGAAAGAAGGAAAGGGGGGGGGACTTACCGTAGCAATACTGGTGTGGTTGGCCAGCATCAGCCCGCTCACCCGGTGGCTCATCGGAATGTACGGGCTCCTCTTCGTCAGCGCCACCTGGATGCTCGCCGGTCCCCAGGGGATAAACGTCGCCAACTTGCGCTCCCTGATTCTTAACAAGCTCTTGTGCACGTCCGTCGGGTCCACCTCGCCCTGAATCACATTCAAGATTGAGATGTAGCAGCTCTTCTTGGCCGGCACCGTCGACACCATGCGGTTCTTGGGCTGCAGCAGGCGCCGCATCACGTCCAGCACCGTCGTCTTGCGCACCGTCTTGGCCTGCTCCACCTGGTCGCCGGTGAAGGGCGTGTACGCCGTCATCAAAAAGTGGCAGCGCGGCGTCGGGATCAGCGACGCCAGGATGCTGACCAGGTCGTTGTGCATGTAACCCGGGTAGCGCAGCGTCGTCGTGCTGGCCGACATGACGGTCGACACGAGCTGGTTGGTCTGCTGGAAGGACGGCTTCTCGACGTGCAGACGGTCGGCGGCGATGCGCGAGAGCGCGCCGTTGTCGAGGACGACGACCGAGTCGGCGTTTTGCGTGAGGCGCCGCATCGACAGGATGCTGTTGTACGGGTGCACCACCACGTCGCCGGCGTTGGTCGTGTCGGGGAAGACGGAGTACGTCTGCACGATCTTCTTGGGGAACGCGTCGTTGAGCCGCTCGAGCAGGAACGAGCCGAGGCCAGAGCCGGTGCCGCCGGCGATGGAGTGCAGCATCATGAAGCCCTGTTTTTCCGCAAATGGTCAGCATTTCGGACCTGTCCCAAGTAGAAATACAGACAAGAATCAAGGAAAGACAGTCCTGTACCTCTAACGAATCGCTCCCGTCGGCCTCGCGGTCAATCATTTCCAGAATCTCATCATACACTTGCTCGCCGCTCTGGTAGCCATCACCCCAGTTATTCGCCGCGCCGACGCCATTCTTTCCAATGTAAAAGTTTTCCGGGTTGTAAATGTTTCTATACGGGCCTGTTTGGATGCCGTTGATGACCTGCCCAGCTCGTCAGCAAATCTGAAACCGCGTCCCTCCAATGTGTTTTCCTTCTTTTTGTTTCCCTCGCAGAAAATTAGGTGTGGAAAAGGAGTTTGTACCCTCGGCTCCAAGTCAATCAGAATCGCCCGAGGAATGTATCGCGTGTCGTCGCTCTGGTAGTAAAACACGTCCTTGCGGTCGCCGCCCTCAGTCGCAAAGTCCTCGAGGTTGCCGTCTTGGCTGATGCCATGTTCCTGGCAGAGCTGCTGCCAGAACTGGCTCCCAACTGTTTCACACAGAGTCCGATGTTGTCAGCGCATGCGTGCTCTCCCCCTCGCCGCGGTTGGGGGTTCAAAACTAACTGCTGTTGCCGCACTGTCCAGCTTGTATCGTGATAATCTCCCTACGAGACGAAACCCGGTCGGTTAGGTGCTGCAATTTTCTTCGTTTCGCGAAGCTCGTCTCGTGCTTACCGTGGCATTTTGTCGGCTGCTGCAGCGGGTCGTCCTCGGTGTCGTCGGGGTCGCTGGTCAACGTTGCGGGTTGCGGAAACGCGACGCGCCTAGCTTGCCCCGCGATGGGAATCTCAACTGGCACTTTTTAGGCGCAACTTCGATAGCCCCTCAACAACATACTGTACATGCATGCTCTCCATAGCGAGTTTACCAGTGGACTTCTACATTTCTACAAGACGTCACAATCAAGGAAGAGGAAACTAGTTATTTCAAAAGCAAAACGCATATATTTTCCCTTTTTTGAGGGACCTTATACAATATAAACAGAACAGCTAACAGCTAACGAAGGCCGCCCTGGTTTGGCAGATTTTGCCCACTAATATAACAAGTAAAGAAGAAGCCAATGCTCTAGAAAACGCCTTTCATGCTAACCTTTTAATGAAAAATAATTACTATACCTTTTTGTTCTCCTTGCGGCTGAATACCTAGCCGTCTTGAAATGCTATTTCCGGGTCCGTGGACCGAAATGAAATCCAATGCCCGACACGCCCATTATCATTCATCCGTGTTATTATGCACCTTGTGTTCCTCCAAGGCTTCCGCCAGCGCCGTGGCCGATTCCTTGGTCTTGACTTGGAACATCCAAGTCTCCAGTCCATCGCCGGTCTCATTCGAAGTCACCACACGCACGTACTTTCCATCTGCCTTGTACCTGACGTTAGGTAGCAATGCCCTGTTGATGGCAACATTGCCTCTCGGCTCAGCCCTAAGCAGCAGCCGCACTACATTCGTCTCCTTGTGCTTCAACACACGCAGCGCTCCGACTCCCTTTGTTGTCCATGGGCTCTTTGTCTTGGCCTTGTCATCGCCGCCCGATTGTTCCTCAGGTGACAAATGGCCCAGTGCCTTTGCCCGTACTTCATACACAGTCTTCTCTTCCGATTCGGCCCCTTCTGTAAGGTTGATCTGTTCGTGTTTCTCGCCCTCATCGTCTTCGTTTCCGTCCTTATTCGCTTCGACCTGAGCACTGGGCTCCGGAGTGCCCGCGGCTGGCGTCGTCGCCAGACTCGAACCTCCTCCCAGGTTTAACGGCGAGTCTACAGCCGTCGCTTTAGCGGGGCGATTTTCCGGTTCGGAATTCGAGACTTACTGGTCCCGGTGGTAGAGGATCCACCGATCGGAGGCTGCAGACTGGCGCCAAACGATGGTGCGGCCTGGCTCGAGCCAAACATGTTGCCACCCTGCGGCTGAGCGGGAGAGGCAGCTGTGAAGTTAAAGGCCGGAGCACCACCCGCAGACGCGCCGCCAAAGAGGGGCGTGGAGCTGCCAGAAGCCGGTTTGCTGCCTCCGAACGTGGATCCTCCCCCATCAGGAGCAGACGCGCCTCCCGTCCCGCCAAACTGAAAACTTGCAGACGGACCCGATGCCACGGCACCCGCATTACCACCAAAGTTGAACATGCCGCCAGCTGGTGGATCGGCAGGCTTGCTGTTGCTGGCGAAGGGGTTGTTGAAACTTGAACCTGCACTGGTGCTCTCAGTGGTACCAGTGCCGCCAGCAGCAAAGCTAAACCCAAAGCTGCTCGAGCCAGTATTAGTGGCGGGAGCAGCTCCGAACGAAACAGACGTGTTGCCGTTAGTCGTAGTATTGCCGCCCACAGCGCCACCAAACAGGTTCACAGAGGGCGCGCTGGATGCACCAAAGGTGAAAGAGCTGGGCGCAGACGAGGTTCCAGCAGTGAACCCCTTCTTGGCGGGGGACTGCTCATCTTGCTTCATCGGGCTTCCAAATAACGCCCCGGCGTTGGTCTTGGCGGCCTCGGGCGACTTAGGTGCGAACAGAGGCTTTGCAGGAGCGGTCTGTAAAGTAGTCGAGTTCGAGTTGCCACCGAAGCTAAAGGTTGGCGGCGCCGCAGCAGCAGCAGTTGTAGCAGGAGCGTCAGTGTTCGGGGCAGGGGCACCAAACAGCGGCTTGGAGGGAGCAGTAGAAGCGCCGCCAAAGCTAAAGGCCGGCGGCGCCGTGGCAGCAGCAGTTGCAGCAGGAGCGTCAGTCTTCGGGGCAGGGGCACCAAACAGCGGCTTGGAGGGAGCAGTAGAAGCGCCGCCAAAGCTAAAGGCCGGCGGCGCCGTGGCAGCAGCAGTTGCAGCAGGAGCGTCAGTCTTCGGGGCAGGGGCACCAAACAGCGGCTTGGAGGGAGCAGTAGAAGCGCCGCCAAAGAGGGTTGAAGCCGCAGTCGTGGTCTGGGCGCCGAAGAGAGGTGCGGCAGTAATAGTTGACGGAGCCTCAGTGGAGGCAGCCTTTGCAGGCTCAGAGGGTTTAGCTCCAAAGAGTGTGGATGACTGCAACACAGGAGCAGACTCCTTGTCTTTCGCCGCGCCACCAAACAAGGTCGAGGTCGCAGGCTTAGCAGCACCAGCACCAAAAAGATTCATAGCAGGCTTAGCCGGCTCCGTAGCTGCAACTGCAGGCGAAGCAGCAGGCTTGGTTGCGAACAGTCCCGTCGACGTGGTAGGGTTGGAAATCTTGAAGTCAAATGCCCGCTTCTTGGCAGGTTGAGAGTCGTTCTCCTTGTCAGACTCGTCTCCATCTTTGCCAGGGTCAGCAGCAGTATGGGCAGGCTTCTCAGTGGCGGTTGACTTGGCGCCAAAAGGATGACTGGCAAAGGGATTAAAGCCTCCGGAGGGCTGTGAAGCGCCAAAGGGGTTGTTGGCCTGCGCGCCAGACGGAGCAAACTTGAGAGGTGTAGTGGTGGGGTTCCAGGTCTTATCAGCAGGCGCCGAAGTCTCAGGCGGAGACTGGGTAGCCTCGGGAGCACGAACAGGCTCACCATCGCTGCCCTTGGTTACACGCTCGAACAAACTGCGGGCTGGTGTACTTTCGCGGGTGGAGTCGCCAGCAACGGTAGACGGAGCTGCTTCTTCCACTGCACTAGCATCACCGCTCTGGTCTTCGCTCTGTTCCGCAGCAGGGCTTTCATCAGAATCAGAATCAGTTTCGCTACCATCGACTCCGCTGTTCTTGGCCGAGCTAGCGTCGGACAAATAACCAAAGATGTTGCTTCCTCCCACTGGGGCCGTACCAGCGGGGGCTTGTCCAGCGCCAGCCTTGATGTTGGTGAACACTGAACGAGCCAGACCACCAGCCGAACTGCCAGTGGCAGACTTGGGCGCGAACATGTTCGGCCGGGGAGTAGTGGAAGTTTCCGTGGACTTGTTGGCAATCTTCTCGAAAAGGGTCTTGGTCGCAGAGGGTGTCGATCGCTTGAGGGGTTGGTCTTCTTCGCCAGCAGAGGCCTTGCGCTTGTTCTTACCAGCGGGCTGAGGCGTCGCGATGGGGGCTGGAGCTTCCTGGCCAACCTTGTCGGTAGTTTGACGCTTGCCAAAGCTCTTGGCATCGCTATCGGCTGTGTCCTTGCTCAAGTCGTCATCTGCCTTGCGCTTCTTCGACGGAGCGGCCTTGGAAGGAGTCGCAATTGGTGCTTCCGCTTCATCCTCTTCTGGCTCAGGAAGGCCATGCTCGCGACGCCATCTCTTCAGGACTTCTTTGGAGGGCTTGACGTTTTGGAATTCGTAGAGGCCGTAGCGCAGCAGAATGATGCTTCTGCTCTTCTCGAATTCTTTGGCAAAGTTGATGACGTTAAGCTTCCAATCTTTGCGCGCGAAAATCTCGTTCGCGGCATATTTCAAGCGGCGGAGATCAAGAATGCAGAAGAACTGCCTGCGCTGCTCCTCATCAAGATCGGGGGGGCAGAGATGGGCAAGGAACTGATCGGCATAGATGGATCCCTTGGAGTTCCATTCCTTGGGGACCTTTCGAGCGAGGACTTCGCCGGTAAGCTCGCGCGGCGGCGACGAGATGCGCATGGGGAAAAGGTCCTTGTCTGTTGACTTGGCTGCCATGCCGCGCGGCGCGGCACTAGCTGTTGATTCTCTGTAGACTCGCGATGGCTCGGGGGTGGCGCCGGGGGCAAAGACCCTCTTCATGGTACTCTGTGGCAGGTTCGGCAAGAACGCGGTCGAGGGCGGGCTGGTCGCGACTGCCGATGCCTGGAAGATATTCCGCGCCGTCGAGATGGAGCTCTTGTGGAGTGACGCGGAGGGCATGTCGTTGAAGAATCTGCGCGATGGCGCAGACTGGGGAGTGCCGAGGTGCTTCGACGGCGCCGCCGCCTTAGCAAAGGGCGAAGCGCCATAGGCGCGCTTCGCAAAGGGCAGCGGCGGGCGAGCTCGTGGTGTGCCGTTTGCGGCCGGCGCGGCATCGCCATCGCCGGGTAAGGCGAAGGTGACCATGACGTGAGGGAGGGCCGAGTGCGCGTTGCTGAGTGCGAACCGGACTTTGCAACCTCGCAAATATAAATGACGAAATGTGACGCGCGATGAGCAACTCAGAAGAAAAGAGACGTCGATGGAAAATGCGCGTCGCACGGGTGCGATGTTGAAGGGGTCGCGTTCCTAGTTCGAGTTGCAGAAAAAAAATCACAGAGAACCGGTGCGTGCGTTTGCCCCAGACTTGATGTCCACAGGGGGGAGACAGCGGGTTGCTACAGCACCACAGACTATCAACGTGAAATCAACGGGAGGCCCCTGGATGCAGAAAGAAAAAGAAAGGAACAACTGTTGTGTTACAGAGATCGATGCATGTGGAATCAGCTGGCCCGTGATGAAAGAGAATCCACCGGGGTGCACAAGCGGCTATCTCTTGTGGTCGTTGTGATGGCCCTTCGGCGGCAAAAAAAAAAAACAGGACCAGCCGTTGGGAGGGAGTTGGGCGGGTGGGTGGTGAGAGAAAAAAAAGGAAGGGCAGCCACGGGGGGGCCGTCGACCTTCTAAATCACCTATAAAAAAACGTGAACGGCAGCTTGAAGTGCCCAGTGCGAATCAGCCCAGTGCGAACCGAACAAACGAACACGCAGCAACGCCCGCCCTACAGGACCCACTCTCCACTTCCGCACTTGCAGCCTCAGGCATCAGAACGTGGGGAGACGCTCATCTGACATGTTGCTTTCAACATTGCCGTGTGGTAACTACTACCCTGAAGCTTCAGCTTGGGAGCCTGGAAAGAAAGAGGAATCGAGAGCTGGGCGTAGGTACCGTCAATAATTCGGAGCCATGGTATAAGTCTCAACATCCAGGGTGGCACGTAGATCCAATACGCCATTCTACAGAATCATCGCCTTCGCCTAGTTTATACCGGCTTTCTTAAATGCATTTACCACCTCACTTACAGGTTGGTCATGTCTTGTGATAGAACAAACCATCGCACAACACTAGCGCAACCAGAACTCGATAGGTTGTTGTGTCAATTTCTTTCCTAGTCTGAACTGAATTTAAATAGCAGAATGCGCCCCTAAGCCTATGCATAAGGGCCTCGAAATGGAAAAAGGCGGAAGAAACAAACGCAGAGCAATTCACTCAAACAAAAAGAGTACATGAGCCAGATTACAAACAGTGTGCCCAAAACACCGGCAGCAACTCGTCCTTGCGCTGCAACCACCTAATTACTCCTTCACCATCTTGCGATGCTGCTCCTCGAGGTACTCCTCATCCGAAGCATCGAGGATATCATACTCCTCGTCAGTCATGAAACCGTCATCGGAGCCATCCCACTCCAGGTACGACTTTGTGGTAGGGCTGGCGACGGGACTGGCAACGAGAGAGACCGTATGGGAAGCGTGTTCTCGCTTCGCCTCCTCGTGCACGCTGGCGATGGGGGACTCCGCCTCGAGCTTGGGGAAGACAATGGTGCTGCTGGCTTGTGACTGCTCCATCTTGTCGGTCTCCTGCACCTTCTCCTCCTCATCCTCAACTTCTTCTTCAAGGACCGGAGTGGCGGGAGCGGCCTTGACCGACCGGGCCTGAACCTCACACCACATGCGCTCACCGAATCGGTAACCGTCCTCGGTGCACAGACGCCAGTATGAAATAAATTTGCCGGCGCGTGTAGGAGTGCGCAGGAGCACAGTGAACTGGAATTCTTGGCCTGGGGCAAGCTGCGAGTAGCAGACAGTGGACTGAGACGCCGATACGAGGTCAGAGATACCGGTGGGGTGGGTCGAATCAACGTGGCCCATGTAATCGCCACCAGAGAACTTGACGACGCAGCCAGCAGGCCACGGTACGTTTCCATCGTTGCGGAGTGTCCATGTCTGCTCAAAGACATGGTTCAGACCATAGATGGTGCCATCAGACACGCTCTCACGAACGAAGCAAGCCTTGAGCTGCTCTTCCTGAATAGTTTTCTGAGCTTCCTCCTTAGTCTGAGGAATATCGTCTAACTGAACGAGGGGTTCTTCCGTCTTCACCTCGGGCTTGATGGTCTCCTCGGGCTCCTCGGGTTTCACGTCAACTACGGTCTGCACGGGGTTGACCGAGTTAGTGTTAGTGGAGGGCTGGGAGTGAGTCTCGAATCGATCACCCATCGGCTGCAGCTGTCTGCCGTCCTGGTGCTCTCCAGTAGTCGTAACGCTGACATGGCGGACGGCAGTCTTGAACTTGATCAGAGGGTGCGTCTTGTTGTGATTGTTGGCAGGGCTGGCCTCGCAGTTGGCACAGAAGTCGAGGTCAGGGCAAATGGCACACTTGTAACGTGTTCCAGTGATATAGGAGGGCCAGGCTGCAGAGGACGAGCAGAGGGGGCCGTCGCAGCAGATGCCCATGTGTGTAACTTGCAGAGTATCACCCTCCTCGGAACAGTAGTGAGGCAGGTCGAGAGGCTCATACAGAGCAGCAAAGCGATGGTGAGGATGAATGAAGCTCGCATTCTCAACGCAGTTGCTGCAATAGTCCCAATCAGGGCAGTCGAGACACTTGTGTCGAACACCATGTATGTTCTGGTTGCAGCCGTCGCAGATGGCCAAATGTAAGCAGTTTCTGCCGGGAGCCATACGGGCGATGATGTTGTCGGCCATTTTGGTGCCTGGAACGGCTGGCGCAAAGCCGTGCATAGGATGGTGGCCATGACTATCCGACGAGAAGCAGCTTTCGCAAAGGTCAAAGTCCTCGCACTGCTGGCAGTGAAGGAACTTGAACTCGGCATGTTCTAGCGTCTATTAGTCTCAGAATCAAGGCAGGGTATATGTAGCAGGGGAGACATACGAACGAGGCAAGCGTTGCAGGTGCGTGTGTTTCCGAGGGGAAACGGAAAGTCACTTGTGCCGAGGCCAATCATTGCCGATGGTTCAATTGGTGGGCGAGCAAAGAAGGAAGGCGGTGGAGCAAGATCAACGAAGGCAGGCGATCTAGCCGGACGCGGTACCTCATACGACACAGAGGGGGAAATGTATCTGGAATACAAGGCAGGCTGAATTTTGGGCTCCTCCTTGGCGGCCTTGGGCTTGGGTTTGGGGGAGAGTTTCTCAGTGCTGCTCTTGACGATGGTGCCATCAACAATGGAACGCTTGATCAGCCAGTGAGTGTCGCTCTTGCAAGTAAGGCCGAGATCAATGCAACCCTGGCAGACGTCGTAGTCGCCGTCGTCGCAAGTAGAGCAATGGTAGTGGGCGTCATGGATGGTCCTGCTGCAGCGGTTGCAACAAACGGCGAAGGTGGACGTTGTAGACTCACTCGGAGGCGATGAGGACGTGTCCGGAGAGGTGGAGTTGAGAGATTGGCGGCTCATGAGGCAGCTGAGACGGCTTTCAAAGTCTTTGCGGAGCTCCTCGCGATTGTTGACCATTTTGGCGGCCTTGGCAAGTAGCGTCGGGTCGTACTGCTTTGACATGCTGGGATAAGAGGTGAGCAGAGGTAGACTCGTCTGAGGCTGCGATTCGGGCTGCTGGATCTCTGGCTGGACATCTGGCTTCTTCTCTGACTCAGTAGCCTGGACGGGTTCTGGGATTTGGTCGTTGGAAGAGGGCTTAGGAGCCTGCTCGGGGTCCTCGACCAATGTGACACGGAGCTTAAGCTTGGATTTTGCCTTGGCGGCGCGGTAGAGCTGCTTGTAGACTGATAGATTTGCGGAATCGAGGAGTACAAATGATCCGGCCGAGTCGGAGTATCTCTCAATCATGGCCTTGCGGTCAACGGGAACGTGCAGGAACGTTCGGATCTAGGCAGTGTTAGCAGGGAGGACGATCAGCCAGGCGGCTCGGCTAGAACGCATCCAAGATTCCTGCAAAACGAGCGCAGGATTCACAAACGTAGCCACCAGTCGGCCGGTCGGGGAGAGAAAACGTACATGCTCCTCAAGAACTCTGGGCACCATCTCACGCAGAGGCATCTTGACTCGGCGGGTAGTACCGTCATAGGTCACCTTGACGGTGACCATGGCGTCGGGACCGACATGCGTGGCCGACATAGTTGTGGATGGACTATGTCAAGATGTTGTCAGTTTGATGATGGAGAGAGGATGGAGAGGTGGTGGTGCCGGCGGGTTGGGGTGAGGTGAGGTGAAGTGAGGCGACTAGGCCACAGTGAAGCGGGCCGGCTTGCCACTAAGACGAATGCAGGCGCTGTGGCAGCGTGCGTCAGCGACTGACGTACCTTGAAGCTCCCGACACGGTTCGGCCGGGCAGAAAATCAGAGAGATGGGTGTTTAGAGTTTCAAGGACTTGATCCCACAGCCCTGGGCAGCGTGCTGATGTTGGCGAGGAAGTGATCGATGGATACTGGGATAACAAAACAGAGAGGCGGTGATGAAGAGGAGCGAGGAGATGAAGAGGGGAGAGGGCGCATGAGTTTGGGGGAGAGGCGGAGGCCGAGAAAAGAGGAGCACGGGATCTTTGTACAGGCAGAAGCAAGCCTGCGGTGGTGCAGTGGCCAGGAAAGTCGCAAGGGTCTGTCTGCTACAGGTGGCCAGTGTTTGGGCGATTCAGGGCTCAGCAGGGGAGGGGTTGTCACTGTGAGTTTTTCCGGTGCTTCCATGCTGTTGCCAATGTACATACTTAGGTACCTAGATAGGTATCCTTTCTATTAGTGATACTTGCCGTGATTTTTGAGCAAATTCAGTGGGATTGCGTGTCCTTGATGCTGTTTTACAGGCAACCGAGTCGGCAGTGTGATTGTGATGAGTTGCTTCCACATCGCCACGCCGCCTGCACTGCGCCGCAAACCTTGTGTACAGACAGTGTAGCAGTGCAGTGCAGGCCACGGAAATGGTGAATACAGGCCGCTGTTTTGTCACTACCTCTCCAATGTGAACCCTGGTCTGGCCCGCACTTCCTTCTGTCTCGCCCCAGCCGTCCCGCAAGCCAGGCCAAATCAGGCCGATTGGAGCAGGCAGAGACAAATGATGCGTGCCACCTGAAGCATCAAGCCGAATCAACCAGCTTGCCTGCCAAGCTTGCCTGCAATGTTGTATTTATCAGCCCGCTGTCCCGGATGGCGGATTCCGGAATCTACGGGCTCGTAATTGTCTTTCCAGCTCATTCTCTCGCACGGATGTTCATTCGCCCCCTAGGCAGCTATCAGCACTCGCAATCACGAATCGTGCGGGGGTGGGTATTGTATTTTAGCGTGGCGCACCTTCAACTTTTGAGGTAACCAACTAACCAAGCCAACTTGCACAAGTACCTACAGCTACGACGGAGTAGGTAGGTACTTACCCATGAATAAGGGTTCTGCTTGGTCGAGCGAATCAGCCGCGCCGTATGGGGACTATCCTGGCACTGTACCCGAGTATGTCTCAACCCTTATTTACGGTACCCTGAGCATACTTCCGCCGCCGCCGCCATCACCGACCTGAGAGAGGGAGGGGAACTACAGGAAAAGTCGAGATAGACATATTGATTCAACCACTTATCTGTATGATAATATTCAATCGTCTGAACAGACTAATGATGATGCCGACATCGCGTCCTTTGGTTGGCCAACCTACCCTGCGATACGCTCGAGGAATCCCAAGCAGCAAAACTCAAACTCATCACGTCATCATCTGGATCTAGTAATGGTACTGCTGTCGCTATTGGCCCCGTCCCTGACTAATAAACGAGCAACACACTTTTTGACGCGGTCGGATTCATTAACTCTATCAACGCCTAACTAGTTGGTCTGAACTTTTCCATCTTAGTCTGGTGCGCAAGTTCTCGTGCCATCATGCATGTAACTCATGAGCGCGAGGCACCATGAATGCATAATCTGAGACGTCACTGTGCGTGTACCACTGTGGAAGAAGTGACACACAATACCACATGTTTGTCAAGCTAGCGAGTGCGACTGGGAGGAAAATGAACGCTGATCTGTCCAGTAATAAGTCGGGTTCGCGTCTGAGCCGAGCCGATTCATGCTCATGAAGCCCACAACGGCTCTATTCATACACTTTTAGCATCAAAGCCCAGGCCAGGAGCGATGGAGTTTATTTGTCACATAGCTTTATTATGATGCAAAATGACGGACTGGTTCGGCAGGGGCGAGTTCAACACCGGCGCGCGAGATTTCGAACTTGTATCCGTAAATTCGAGAAAATCCTGCACAGCAAACTTTTACGTGTTGTTCAAATATTTAATTACAGGCATATAAAAAAAGGTTAACAAATTGACGACTTATTCTATTCTGAAAGCTTGTCCTATTCTGACAGCCTTGTCATTCTGCGGCTGATAGCTTCCATCTGGAAACAGGCAGGCCCTTTACATGACACCAATGTCTCATACTGGTGCACGAGTCACGTACGTACACTGGTCGGTGAATACAAAGAAACGTCATCATTGTCGATATTGTCACGTAAATTAAATGCATATCCGTAGTCGTATAGAACTCAAACGCAACCGCGAATGATTTTGATAGCACCCACAACTCCCAAGCCATGTAATCCCCAAAGAACAGCCCCCCTCAGAATACCTCGAAGAAATGCCCATGTATGCGCTCCCTTTAGCCCCAAACCGAAGAAGAATAAGAAATCCAAGGTGAAAAGTAAAAATAGAACAAAGCTTCAAGATGTGTCCGGCCCGCTGCTGCTGCTGCTGCTGCTGCTGCTGCTGCTGCTCCACCGACTCTGAAACTCCCGTCCGACCCTCTCCAGTCTCGCCGCCGCCGTCTGCGCCTCCCGCGCATCCTGCGGACTCTTCGCCACGACCAACCCGACCAACCTCGGCGGCGGCGGCGCCTTTCCCTCCTCGCCCTTGCCGACCGGCCCCTCTTCCGGCGGCGGGTGCATGTACGACTGCAGGACGACGGCGGCGGCGGCGGGCGGCGGGTACTCGACGACGATGCGCTCGACGGCGCCCATGCCGACGCGGTGCGCGGCCGCGCGGCCGGTCAGCGCCGAGGTGGTCAGCGCGGTGAGCGACGCGCGGGCCGAGCGCGAGCGCGAGGAGGTGATGAGCGGGGTGAGGGCGTCGTCGGCGAGGTGCAGCGATAGCGTGGGGTGCTGCGCGGGTAGGTCTGCCATTTTGTAGCTTCGGTGTATATATATGTTTATGTCTTTGTAAATATATAGGGTCAGGTCCGGAGAATGAACAAAGGCAGGATAAAAGTCCGAGACAGGGGGGCAAAGGGAAGATGAAAAGGAGGGCCGAGGGAGTTTATGTGCGCATTGGTATTTGGAGAGGGCGTCACAAAATGGGCTGGTGGCAGCAGCACAAAACGCACGAGGGGGTGGGATTGGGTAACGATAATATAATGTATACTGTGTACGGCGTGGTGGTGTGATGGCGTGCAGTAAATCGGTCAAGGGCTTCTCCGGGTAGATGCGAAATCACAAGATGTCGGAAACGGAACCCATGCGGGGAAGTAGGGGAGGGGGGGGGGGGGCACAAGAATGAGCAAATATATCTGCCAAGGGGAGGGGAGGATGATGACATTACTTTATATCTGTACGCATCGGCATTGCAGATTCGCTCGGGTTAAAAAATCGTGGCGTTCGTTGCTTCTAATAAGTATTAGTTGCATTGTTTTTCCTATTAGCCGCCGCAGGCGTTGCGGGATCAGCGTTGAACCATGATGCGGGGAAGGAAGCCGAAAGGAGGGGGAAAAAGCAAGCAGGAGCCGGAGAGCGAGGTAAGGCTATCAGTATCCGAGAGAGAGAGAGAGAGAGGTGCCCGACAATGTTTTGCGTGCCCACGCTCCGTCATCGTACAGGGCAAAGACGTGTTCCGGAGGTTTGAGTAAAGCTTCTCGTTGTCAACAGATAGATAACCGGGCGGGGGAGGAAGAGCTGGTTAGTTCGTTACTGATTAGTTACTGTGTGGGAGGGGGAGGGGGCTGGGCCGGCTTGGCATGGGAGGGGGTCATCGTGGGATTCGTGAGCCGATGTCGTATCAAAATTGGTAAACTGGGGAAGGTACATAGTTATCAGGGACTGGGTTTTGGGTGGACACGTTCCTTCACTTGGTCTCGCTCGGTTGGGTCAGCCGTGATGGGACGGGGCTGCTAGAGGTAGGATCGTCATGTCGTCTGTGGAGTTGCTGGCTACATCACGAGTTATCTTGCCCGATTGATTTCAATCACGGAAAGTATGCAGAAATCACACATTCAACAGTCACATCCGCAAGACAAGTGAGGAAAAGACGGAGTGCTTTTGGCCCCTAAAACAACAAGGAAGAAATATCCATATCCGTCAAAACACCACCAACACCGCTACCATGAAAAAGTAAAATAAAATAAAAAAGTGTATCAAGGCAAAAGGAAAGACGTCGGGAGACAAGGAGGATACAAGAAGAACAAGGGAGAAGAAAACAAAAGCCGGGCATCCGGCCCTCATCCCGCATCAATGCCAAGTCCATGTCAATCATCCAGACAGAAAGATAGGCCCAGCCTTCGCAGTAACAGAGCAGCCGGCAAATTGCCTTTTTTTTGCACCATCAGGCTCTCTCTTCACTGTTCCTTCCACAAAATGAACCATCAACAGAGAAAAAGCTTACGCAATAAAACACATGGCCATGCCGGGCGTCGTTGCAAGCTCAACGCCAAGCAGTCGGCAGAACAAAGGGGACCAGAGATGAAAAGTCGCAGTAAAGTGCAGAGGGGGCCGTTAAACAGGTAAGGGGAATCCAAGAGCGTCGAATTAGGCGGAGCTGGCCCGCAGCAGAAAGCAGTAAAGTCGCCCGTAGGCTGTATGAAAAATCGGCGGCAAAGCTGGCTAATGTGGTGAGGAAACAAGGAAGAAAAGGTGAAAAGGAAAATCAATGAGACGAGGAAGAGTCGGGGATCGATGACGACCGATAAAGGAGAATGAAGATAGAAATGATAAAAATCAGGAAAGCTCAAGCACGCTGGGTCTGCCCCCTTTGCCAAGTCAAAATGTCAATCAGTTGTTTTGGGTCCATCCAACCTCCGTCAGGGACAGAGCGAAGAAAGGAGACGATGCATCGATGCACGCCCAATGCTATAGTCCAAAAATTCCATGAAACCATGTCAAAAGAACACAATGCCGTAAGACGGAGGATAAGGGAGTATAATTTCTCCGCCAGCTTTTTCACAATCCTACTGTGGGTAGTAAACCATACCCGGGGCGGGTTGAGAGTAGTAGAAGGTATCGGGGCTAGGTGTCATCATTCCGTGCACGCCCATGGAGCTCGTAGGATAGGTCTGCGTCGGTGGGTAAGAGGGGTAGGTGGTCGGTGGCTGCATCTGCGAAGGGTCAAAGTAGTAAACCATGCCGTTGGCCTCCTGTGCAACGAGATTGCTCGATCCGGCAGCGCCCCTCGTCTGGCTTGATTGCTGTTCCATCTGGCCCTGCATCGCGTAGTTGACCATGGGGCTTGGCACATTTGAAGGGTAGCCGCTTGCTTGTCCATTCATACCAGCTCCGGCGTAACCACCCTGGTAATAGTAGCCTTGCTGGCTGGATTGAACAGGCTGGGGCGGGCCTTGATAGTAACCTTGCTGGGGATATGGGCTGCCGTTAAATGGCGCAGCATTTGCAGGTCGCTCCGGAATATGCGATAGCGGCGTACCGGATATACGCTGCGAGTGTGACTGTCGTCTCGAGTGGCCGTCTGGCTGGTAACCACCGCCGACCTGTACCGGAACTTGCTGGTGGAAGGCTTGTTGGAAAGGCTGACCGCTTTGCGGCATACCGGGTGACTCAATATGGGCCACGGAAATGTTCTTCTGGGGCCGAGGTTGATGTATGGGCAGTGCGGGCGATGAGTTGTCCATCGAGCTGCCATCCACTCGGCTGGGTGGCATTTCCTGCATGGGCATGGGCACAGCCATAGGCATTGGCATGGGCATTGGCATTGGCATGGGCATGGGCATGGGCATCGGGGGTCCAAACTGGCTGCCAATGTCTGGCATCATTTCAATTCGAGCAGGAGGGAGACGAACGACAGGCCTGTCTCCTCCATGCGGTGCGCGAGAAACGACAGAACCAGTCGGCGAGAACATAAATTCTCTCTCGTTGACAATAGACGAGCGACGGCTGAGGTTCAGGCTGGGAGAGTACATGCTACCCATGAAGCTGCCACCAAAGTTGCTGGTCCGGCGGGAGAAGCCACCCACGGAGCCAAAACCGGATCTCGGCTTGCCGCGGACACGGTGCTGCTGATTGGGCCGAAGAGCCCTGGGGATGAATTCGAATGATCGGTCCAAAGCGGGATAAATGTATTTGGGGCCCCTATCAGGAAGTGAGATGCGAACTGGTTTATCCCTACGCAGCGGCGGTCGGTGATCCGGGAGCTTGGTGTACTGTTTCATCTGGATGCCGGAGTATACAGTGGGCGTCTCCATGTAGGGGAGGTAGACGCGGAGTTGAACGTTTCCTACGTGCTTTTCCGTGGAGAGAGTTCGGTTGATGGGTGTGTCGCTCTCCTTGCACGTCGGAATGAAGCCGTTGCCGTTGGGCGGACCCTCGTCCATGGATACTTGACGGGATTGCCGGGAGCGTGGCGGGAGAGACATGGCATCGTGCATGTCATGTGGCCAGGGCGAGTTCGTTGTAGGGTCTTGCGGATACATGGGACTATCATAAGCATGGTTAGCATGGGGCGTCTATACGATCAAGCAAGCGATGTGAAGGGGGCACACATACCCAAGACGGCCATAGGTATTGCCGACAAAACCACCACGGCCACCTCGTCCTCGGCCACGACCAAAGGTGCGAAAGGCGCTACCCGAGGGCCCTGGAGCCTGTCTGGAGTCGTGCATGATGAAAGCGCCTCTGTTGGGGACAAAGGCAGGGTCTTGGTCTCGGCGGCGGTTGTAGTCATCATTTTCGTTATTGCGTTGGGCATATTGGCGTTGGGTATTTGCGGCACGACTGGAAGGCTTCATAGCCGAGGCAGAGCTGACAATGACGGGTGCGGATGGAGATCTGGGCGGTGACAGCACAGCATCATTGGCTTGTGCCCGTGTCTGCTGCGGCTCTTTCTGGCTGTCGGCGGGTGGACTCGCGATAGATGCAGCCTGCGCGGCGGCAGGAGCCGGAGGGAGCGTGGATTTGGCGGGGCGCTTTTGGTGTGGCATGACAGATCCATTCGAGGCATGCTGCGCAGGGCCAGGTGTGGGAGATGCCTCTTCGATGTTACTGGTGTCGCTGTCGGCAGCATCATGGTCGTCGGTGGCCATGGTCCCGTCCGTCAGGGAGTCGTCATCTGCGTCGAGACCGTCGGGACGGCATTGATCATCACCCTCGTCCTCGACGCGACGGCGATGGCCAAGTTGAATTCCGCGCCGAGGGGCACGAGCCATGGCTTCGAAGAGCCTACAGCAGCGAGGAGAGAGGAGACGAGCAGCACGTCAGAAGCGCAGTCGAGGCAGGGTATCGCAGAACGATCATGCGGTTCGGTGGGTACAGCAAAGGGGAGCTGTGGGCGAGCGAACGAAGAGAAGAGAAGAAGAAAACAGAAAAGGAAAGAATTAAGAGCGCTGGTGATGGAATCTCAGCGTGATAAAGAGTCGGGGGAGATGGAGGATGCGCAGCAGCTGGCGAGGGACGAAGGTTTGTGTTTGTGGGCGGCAAGTCGCCGGAGTGGTCAACGTCACAGAGGACGAGGGGTGGCGTGTCTGAGTGAGTCGGACAGAGAGAGAGGGAGGCGCGGCGTTGGAGGCGATCCGTAGAGGGAGTGTCCTTGATGAAAGAAGAGGGGAAGGAAAAGAAAAAAAAGGCAGCGGAAGAGAAGAAGAGGATGGTGGGTATGCAAGTAGATGAGGACAAGAAGTTATGGGATGAATCAGGAAGACCAGAAAAAAAGTAGCGGCATCTTTGGGTTGATGGGCAGAGACGTCGAGACGGGAAGAATCATAGGGAGTACTAGATGGATACGGAGAAGATCGATGTAACCACGGCAGTGATGAAGTAACCTTCTTGTACCCTGCTAAGCGTCTGCAGAAGGTGCTGGCGCGTGGGACCAGCCGCTAATAAATCCACGCTATCACAGTTTGGCAGCCGAAGCTACAGTGGATCGGTGGGCAACTAACGCGCCGGAGGAGACAGCTCAGCTAGCAGAAACACCCCAAATGCCATGATTTCTGATAGACGCTGGAGGTTTATCATTGATGTTATACTTTGGAAGCTCCATCACTGTAGAATACATATGAATCTTTTGCAACGGCCCTTGGTACTCTGTTGGCGTTGATAAGGGCATGATACGGAGAAAATGGTTGAGATGCTAGGGGGTACTGTGGTAAAGCTCTGGGTGCGCTACATAGGTAGTGCCTGGGCCTATTCACCTATTTACCAAGCACAAATTCAATGGAACCCTCCCCATGGGCTACGAAACTATGTAGCCTAGCGCTACGGCCGCCTTTTGCAGTGCTCTCGGTCAAGAGGAATGTGAATTGTAAAATGTTGGGCCTTTTGTTATTGAAAATAGGCGAGGGATTTGACGCCGTGATCGCCGTGTTTCACTTTCATTCTAGATACAAATATAGAATCGTTCCATACCCGCAAGCCCGTGCTAAATCTGACCCTGGCCTTGATCTGGTGCTGCGGCTCGTGCCAATGCTCCCGTCCCACGCGTTGTGGCTTGATCTGGGCGTTTAGAGTCAACAAGGGTTATTCGGTCAACGAAAATAGCACATGCTAGTTATTAGTGAGCAGTGACACGAACCAGTCAACGGGTGATAAAGAAATGCCATCCCTCAGTCACTGATAGAAACAGGTCCAAACACTGCATGTCACAGCCCACTCCGCACGTCGCCGCCGTCCAAGGTATGCGACGAGATACGGCGTAAAACAAGCATTTATAAGCATTTATATACGCTTAAAAAAGCAACAGGAAAGCTCCCCTAACCATGGTTTGTTTTGGAGATGCGACGTGTACTTTGACAAGGCATTACGCGTTGCCCAGTTGCGCCAGGTGTACCAGGCAGCAATCGCAAGTAAATACGCTACCTTCCTTTGCCTTAGAGCAGCACCAGCGACAAACCACTCCACCAAGTTCGAAGAGATTCACTAGTTGTTGACGTTGGCTGCCTAGGTAATAACCACGTCGTGGTACTCGACTAGGCAGCTATCGACCAACCTTGCTTTGTGCGGCCAGATGTGAACTGTGCTTCAGGCGTGAGGCCGTTGCCAAGAGACGACACTGTCTACTCGGCACGCCCCCCCCCGGCTTTCCGTCCGATCGACAAGAGCCGTGTTCTTGCCACACATTTAGTAAGCCTGGATCGGGTCGGGGTATATTTGTGGTAGAGAGACGCCGGGCGCGGTACGAGCAAGCTGACACTTGACCAGCAGGAATCTGTGACAAGCCATCGCAACGTCCTGCCTTCGATTACACGCGGCATGCTCTTCCTCTCCCGCCTGTTCCGTTTCACATAGCCTTTGCCGACTTCACGCATCCTACCCCTTTGACCCAGCTGCGCCGGTACGAGGTCCGACACAGCGCGCCGTCTGGTCCCAAGCTGGCACGCGGCGACTTCTACCGGGGCGGACCGAGCGCGTGGATGCTTTTCGGGTCCGCGCCGAGCGCCACTCCGTATAGGATTGTCTGGGAGGTAGGAGGATGTATTTTCCCCAGAGTGACGAGGTTCTCGTCCTGCATGCGTCTTGTCTGCCAGGCGGTGTAGAGGGGCGAACGACTGTTGACGCTGTACTACCTTGTCTCCTGCAAGAGCTAGAGATCGGGAAGATTGATCAATATGCGACTGTGTCTCTGGTGCCACGTGGTAACCCAGCGTCCCGAGATCTGTACGCGGTGATGACTGCGAGCGAGGGTTAACCGTGGCACAGTGACACTCTATTAACATAAGCAGAGAAAATGTTTGCGGCATGCTGATTCTTGGTAGTCGACCTTTGGCTATACTGTAGACACTTATTTCTCTTAACAGATGGACAGTTTGTGTGGAGGTTGTCTATGGCTTAGGACCAAAGGCTATTTTCTGGCAAAAGAGACCTCGACACTGCATCTTTGATACATAACCAGAGAGTATACTCAGGAGTTGCACTATGCGGTGTTTCAAAGCCTGCTCATATGTTCTGAGCTTACTCTTCCGCTTCGCTTCGCTTCGATTCCTGTACAGCGCGCTGGCCTTGCAGTGCAGAATATGCATGCTGCACGTATCCGGAGAAAGTTTGTTCTCCATTGACCCCAGATGGTATTTGATCAAATCGCCGTCTGCAAAACGCGACTAAAGACGCAGGATCGGTTTCTAAAGTATGGGGTGACCAAAAGCAGCTTGTTTTCTACACTGTAGCTTGGGCAGCTATGTACGTCAAGAACAAAGCCGCGCAAGAAAAAAAAGAAGAGGGAAAATGCATAGAAAAGTATCCAAAAAGGACAAAAAGGAGTGAAATCTTAACAACCACAAAGCTAGCGGATTATGTCTCTCTGTGCTTGATTATAGTGAGGTAGCTTATCAGGTTCTCAGAAGCGTAGTTGTATGTACGTAAATACATACATACATACATATGTATGTATGTAAGCCTCACCTTGTGCTGCCCACATCGCAGACTCCAGAAAAAAACTAAACCAAACCAAACCATAATTCTTCAATCACAGCAAACACCACGCGCGACAAATAATGCAGAGACAATAATCCGTTATTATTTATTAGACTTGACGTTGTCCAACAGCAAACCGCAACCATGGTCCGGAAGCAACCAAACACGAAACAAAAGAAGCCCGCGACCCGAGCTTCGGCCTCAGCATCATCACCAAACAATCCTCTCCCCACGCCGTCCACCACCGACGACGCGCCGCCGCAGCTCAGCATCCCGCGCCAGCAGCGGCTCCTCGACCTCTTCGCCGCCGCCTTCGCCCCCGCGCTCGCCGCGCCGTCCCTCCCCGCCGAGCTGCAGGCCATCAAGCAGGCGCTGTACCTCCGCGACTTTGCCGCCGCCTTTGGCCGCCCCGACCGGCTCGCCGCGTACGCCGCGCGCTGGAGCCCCACGCGCGCCCTCTGCTACGCGGGGGTCTTCCGGAGCTACCTGCCTGCGGCGGCGGCGGCGGCGGCGGGGGGCAGGACCAGGATGATCTGCGTCGGCGGGTGCGCGGCCGAGCACGTTGCCTTCGCCAGCTACCTGGAAGGGGCGGGGGGGGACCTGACGCTGGTGGACGCAGCGCCGTGGGGAGAGGTCGCGGAGAGGTTGCAGGAGGTGATTGCCGCGCCGCCGCCGCTGTCGAGCTACGCCTCGGCCGCGGCGCGGGCGGCGAACGGCCCGTTGGTGGAAGCGGGCCGTCTGCGGCCGCGCGTGCTGCAGCGGGATGCGCTGCGGATCACGGACGCCGAGTGGGCGGAACTGCTCCTGGCGCCGGCCGGCGACGGGGCGCAGGTGGTGGTCACGCTGCTGTTCACGCTCAACGAGCTGTACACGAGCGGCGGCGTCGCGGCCACTACCCGGTTCCTCGCCGCGCTCGGCGCCGCGCTGCCGGACGCCGCGCTGCTGCTGGTCGTCGACAGCCCGGGGAGCTACTCCGAGGCGGCGGTCGGCAAGGACAGCAAGCGATACCCGATGCAGTGGCTGCTGCACCACACGCTCACCGAGCAGCAGGCCGGTGCCGCGACGGCGTGGCGGTGGACACGGCTCGAGTCGCATGATTCTCTCTGGTTCCGCCTCTCGGATCAGTTGACGTACCCGATCCAGCTGGAGAATATGCGCTACCAGTTACATCTGTATAGGATAGACAAGACACCATCGACATGATTCACGACCTCCTCATGATGATGGGAAATAAAAAAGCTACTTGATTAATGCTGCTTCTCGAGGTATGCAGGCTTCCTTCTTCTATTCTATGCCCAGACCAGCTTTTTGATAGAGTGTCCGAGCTGCTCAAGTAACCCGGTGTCTCGCTTGGCAGCGTCGAGAGAAATAATGTCCCCCTTCTCTACGATGCTCTTTGGCTCTTCCCCCTCCTTTCGGACCTGTCTATCCAGAACTTGCCTTTCGATGTCGGAGCAAATCGTCACAATCTGCTGAATCTCTGCTTGCTTCGGACCAGGCCGCGTTGCCGCTGTTGACGAGTCTGTATATGTAGCTTTAAAGGCAAACTGCCTCACCACGGGCCCTTTAGGACGCGGAGAGAAGAAGCTAACTAGCCCAGACTGCTTTTGCAAGCTGCTATCTGCCGCACTGGCGGCAGGTGTGACGACCAAGTCTTGTTGCGAGGACATGGTTCGAGTATTCGTCCGCTTGACGTCGCTTTTTCCTGGCTGGTAGGACAGCACGAATCCAACGTTTCGCAGCTCATCCATTTGGGCTGGCGATACTGTAGACGAAATATACGTGCCGAATCTGATACTGGTTACGTTGGCCAAATTTATTCGCTCGAATGACGACACTTTGTCGAGATCCCAGTCAAACCGGCACAGATATAACGCGGCATCGGTCAATAGCAGTACCACTTCTTCCATCGGGAACGACTTCACCACATCTGCAGCGTTGGGGCTGATAAGTACCCAACCTCCGTGAACTTCTTCCTCTGCATTTGCAATCACTCGTTTCTGGCAGAGTTCGATTGCACGATTTCGCATCCTCGTGACAGACACGGCAGGATCCTTGGTCATCATGTCGGCTTCAAATTCGTCAAATACGTTGCTGGTAACGTTTCCTAGGAGGAAATCAATGGCTGCTTGACTAAAGTAGTCGTTTACCATGCTTTTGTCTGTTAGTTTAATTCCAAGTAGCGGATCGCGCAACCTACCCGGAATACAAGCGTGCAAGCGATAGACCGGCGTCGTTCAAAGCGCCCATGTAATTGCGCTTTCGGGTGCGAGTATAGTCACCCTTCATAGCAGCAGTCGAGGCATACTGATTGGAAACCGCGTCGCCATTATCTGCCCAGAGCGTATTGAACCACATTGTCTCCTGGTCCAGTTGCGCGCTCATATCGATCCCTTCCGCTTTCAATTGGACTTCGAGCATATGCTTGGCAAAGGAGCTCTGACAGACGTTGGTTCGGTCCAAGCAATCCATGCAGTTGGTGCGAAAAGTGCCGCTTTGGGAGGATGTTACGTTGCCAGCATTTAGAACGGTGCTGCCCATTTCCTCCAGCTTGTCCTTGAGTAAAAGCAGCAAGTCGCTGACATTCTCAAACTTCATCCCGCGACATGCATGATGAAAATCGAACCACTCAAATGGCACAAGCCCGCAGCTTCCTTCCTCGTTCAGTCGCTCCACGTTTTTCTTGTACGCATCACCGATCGATTTCTCGACACCTTGTTTTTCAACTAGGTTCACTATCTGCACCAGCCCATAGTTTCTCGCCAGGCTCTCAAAGTGCAGCTTCAGCGCTTTATAGTTTTCGTCTGCTGAATGCTGCTGAACGGGTACTGGTTTCAACGCATACGCGGTCTGTGTCCAGAAGAGTGGGATGCTCCCTCGAATTTGTAGAAACGAGTATGTCGGAAACGCCGTATCCCAACTGCAGCGTGACAAAATTTGCTCTGTCTCAACCATGTTGGCTACGAAACCATTCTCGTCGATACCACGACGCAAGTAGCGCAGGCCTGCACGCTTTGTCGATCGACGTGATATGAGCGTTACAAAGTATTTGCTCTCAGAGTCTCGAAGCTCTAGAGAGTTTCGAGAGCTGGCAGATGCGGTCTGACTTGCTGGCGGTTCTTTCGGTGCGAGATTGCTTAGCTCAACAGACTCCATCTTGGGCTCATCGACTTGGGGTGGACTGCGGTCTGCAATGAATGTCTTTTGTCCAACAAAGCCCTGCATGAGCGGGAGAACAAGTTCGTCTTGACCGGCCTCGATAAGCGCGTTTATCATGTGCTTGTTCCAAAAGAATACTTCATCTGCTTGGGTATGTATCGGAACGTCGGCCTGTGTAGCGGGGATTTTGTTGGATAGTCGCCCTGTGATATCCATGTCGTATGAAAAGTAAAAGCTTTGCGATTTGGCAAAGAGGAGGTACATCGCTCTGAGAAGCTTCGGAAGCAAAGTGGTAGCGGGCCGCTGAGGATCCTCGTCGTCTACTGGGACCTTCCTCGGTTCGCCAGCTGTTTCCGGCAACGTGAGATTGTTTGCGGCATCGCTGAGGCCTAGGGATCGTCTTTTATCCACCGTCCAGCCCTTACCACTGAACCAGCGTTGTGCGAACCTGCCGTAGCTGCCCTTTCGACGGATGACGTCCTCGGCGATGCTGCTGCGCGATGACTTTAGATCGTGATCACCATTATCGCTTGCAGCATCATCTACCTCGTCAGCCGAAGAAGCCGAGGGTAGTTCAACATACTCGTCACTACTCTCGGCATCTTGATCTGCGACAGAGGGCCGGTCGTCAAGCCATCTCACGGTTCGACGAATCGAGGCAACTGCATCAGGTTGTGAGGTGCAAGGAGTGACTGCAACCCCGGTAACAACATATATAGGAAAGCCAAAAATCTGTGCGACTTGCTTCCTCTTGGTAATTGTGACAAGGTAACTGAGCTTTGATACCGTGATGAGACCTAGGATGGTCAGGGCTGTATTTTGGGCTGGAATGCTTGGGGGCTCACCTATCACGCCGAAGGCTTCAAAAGAAGAGTCTGCGGCTGATATATCGGGGATATGCTCTCTAGACACAGCCGATATAGAGGCATCAGCATATTTTATTTGCACGGGCTTAAAGGGTCGCTGGCCTTTGGTGGAAAGTGGCTGGATGATTAGGCCCTCTACGGCGGCGCAGATGATGACCTTGCGCGCGAGACCAGGCATGATGAGGGTGCGAGCTGGGTCGCACCTGAAGATTGACAGAGCAGGCCAATAGAGAAATAAAGGTATTAGGCCACTGAAGAATGTGTTTGAGGCGAAATTGAATGGTAGAGATGCGGTTGCAATACTAAAATGTCCATGACATATGGTGGGGGGTAATTATTGTTGGCCTCGGCGTCCGACGTGACTGCGGTCTGGCGTGTGGAGACGTCATGGTCGACGCCATGTTAGTGACGTTAAAGTAGTTACGATGCGACCTGCAGGTTGAACGTTGCCGAGGCGCTGTGGATGGTTTCTGATGCATGATGCAGGTGCAGTGGCTGCCAAGGTATTGTTTTTGTCGGGTTTCGAGTCCAGCTTATCGACGGCACAGCCCCTGAGGTTGATGTGAAGCAGTGGTACTGTAGCACAGCAGGTAGCGCGCAGCCTGACATGCCGGGCAGTTGATAATAAAGGACTGTCTTGGGGATTCTCAATTCGTTGAAACGGTAAACATTATTTGGCTGTGCTGTATTCGTGGGTGTGAAAGGTACCTATGTAGGTAGGTTCTTGTCAATGTTGTAGCCAGCAAACGCTGTCCGCCGCCCAAAGCCTACCGCGAGCGCTGCCTGCTGCTGTGCATCAGCAGTGTCCCAGCCTGTACTCCATAGCCAGGATACAATGAGGCAGCCCATATCAAAGCTGCCAGCCGCCAGATTGGTGACACCAATTAAGACAACTTTAGCAGTATTAGCGGCCTTTTTTCCGTCGCACGGTCAGGCAATTCAGGGCCTCAAGGACAGAGTGGTTCTGCTTAGCTGCAACGGACCCAGCCAATGGGCCACGCTCGTGCGGAGCGGGTAATTGATGTTGCGGGGCGGATTGTTATGTAAGGTGGTTACTCCTGCCACAGGTCCAGCAAAACCTGCCGCCAGCTGCTTCGGTCGCCAGGGAACGTCACCTTGATCAACCACCACACGCACCATTAATCGCGACATCGACAGCTCATCGCCCCGAGATCCTTGCTGCTGAGCCCATCTCGAACTCGACCGACCCAAGCCTCGAATTCGCCCTCAAAGTACTCTCTTTTGTCCAATAGTTAGAACAGCCGCCGCCATGTCTTCCGGTGCTAGTGAGCTTTGGTACGTCACCGTTTGCCGCCTTTGAGGGGGGAGGAGTGTGTCCTTGAAGCTCCCCTGGCATTGTTTCGAGCTTTTGCCATCACCGCAACCCCGCGAAACCTGCTGCAAAGGTTTTTAGTGCTGTTCTTCATAGCATGTAAAGCTAACTGATGCCGATTCGCAGCCCCGTTTATGCGGTTCGTACCTCCACGCCCTGGTCCCGGCTTCGAGCGACTTCCCGTCCATTGCCGGCCGACCGCCCAACATGCATCGCATGCATCGCCAGCTTGCGATATGTTTGAAAGCTGTACTAACAAAAATCACAGCCCTTCTTTGGCGCCATGGGTTGCACCTGTGCGATTGTCTTCACCTGCCTGGGTGCCTCCTACGGTACCGCCAAGTCCGGTGTTGGTATCGCCGCCATGGGTGTCCTCCGTCCTGACCTTATCGTCAAGAGTGCGCAAAATTTCCGATCCATATCTATCAATTGTTGCGCCAGAAACTGACACAAGCTTTAGACATTGTTCCCGTTATTATGGCTGGTATCATTGGTATCTACGGTCTAGTAGTTTCTGTCCTTATTTCCGATGGCCTGACACAGAAGCTCCCTCTCTACACCGGTTTCATCCAGTTCGGTGCTGGTCTTTCTGTTGGTCTTGCTGGTCTCGCTGCTGGTTTCGCCATCGGTATCGTCGGTGATGCTGGTGTCCGCGGTACCGCTCAGCAGCCCCGTCTCTTTGTTGGCATGATTCTTATTCTCATTTTCGCTGAAGTTCTCGGTAAGCAACTACAAGCACGGCGTTATGCGACAACTCTAACAGCAGAAACAGGTCTATACGGTCTCATTGTTGCCCTTCTCATGAACTCCAAGGCGAACACCGACGTCAGCTGTTAAATCATGACGGAAGGGACGGGTCGGAAGCTTGACAATTCGACTGCCACCAAAAGCCCCGACCCCATTCCGCAATGTGACAATAGACAATGTTGGAGCGCTCAGTCCTGATTCTCAATTCCGCCAGCCTAATGTGATGGAAAAGAGATCAATGCGTGTCGGCTGAGAATGGATTTTTGCGCGAGAATAGGTATTAAGGAGACGACACGTCGTACATGTACACTAGCGGCAGGTAGAGTTTGAATTGGCCTTGGGTGTTTCTCGTTATAGACCGTAACTGTATGGAGAAGATCTATTCTAGGCTGAAAAGATGCATTTGTTAATCTGTCAATTGTATTGCCGCAGAAGCCTGGCAGTCTCGCCGTATGCACGGGGCCTGCAGGATTGTAGGAATGAGAGGAAACTCTGTGCAAAACGTGATGACCTGCGTTCTGATGACTGTTATCTCTATTGCAGCTGCTTGACTCAGCGTGTTTTATCACACAGATTACATCAGGCAGATCCTTGTTACCAGCACCCGAGGGCACCTCACTTTACCCGGGCGACGGAAACCTTTGGAAGGCCAACCAACCAAGGAATTGAATAATCATTGAAGAATGAGAATTAAAGAATCCATTAAAAAACTTGGCTATGTTTCGTGTCAACTTTACTTCGTGCTCCCCTGGCCCCTTTTGAACCTTCATCTTGGCCACGTAGATAATCCTCATCCCGAAATCATGAAACCGAAAAAGTTAAAAAAAAAAAGAAAAAAAAAAGGTAAAAGTTGAAATGACACCCCTTCACATTGATTCCCCCCACCCATCATTAAAAGCATGTGTAGTATGGTGATTTTTGCGTGCATCATATTTACAATGAACCAAGTCCAGAAATTTAGTTGGTCGGGCTCCAACGAAAATGGCGTCTGGTAGGGTTAAGCCGCTCTGAAAGAGAGAAAAAAAAGGCGAGCAAGCTTCGACGGAAATTGTAGAGGAGCGATAGCAAATATTGCTTTGCGGAGAGGTCTTTAAAAGACGTACTATTATGTGTGTTAGAGATCTTCGTAGAAAGAGAGGGGGATAGAGACTTACGGGGATAAAGAGATATGGGACCCTTCTCTCGTACTCGAGCCAAGCTTCGCCGTACTTTTGACGGCAGCGGTGAATGTCGCGGGAGGCGCGGTGGGCAATCATGCAGAGGAAGAAGACGGGGTAGAACCAGGGAAAGGGGCTGTTGAAGCCGGTGATGAGGCCCCAGGACATGGAAAACCAAATGTCGGCCGTGTAGTGAATTTTCCGAGCCATGCCGTACCAGCCGTCGATGAGGATGGTACCTTCGGGGCTCCGTATGACCTTGGGGTTTTCGAGGGTCTGCCAGGGGACCTGGGGGAAGGTGTTGCGGGCGACGAGCTTGCCACGCTCCTTAGCGCGGAAGCGGTTCTTCTGCGAGTTGCAGCTATCCCAGACCCAGTACCAGAAGAGGTAGGCGGCGTAGAAGAGGGCGAGGGCGGCGCGGTTCCAGCGGTACTCGGCCGGGTCGTGGTTGGCGAGGTAGATGGTGCAGTGGCAGTAGGAGAGAGGAACGCCGGCGAGGTTCCAGAAGATGAGCATGAAGCCCCATTTCTCGTAATACATGTCCCAGGTGGTGATGATGAGCTCCTCGCCCTTGGCGCAGGCGTTGGCGTAGAGGTAGTGGGCCATGACGAGGAAGGCGACCTCGGGCGAGACGTAGCCGCACTGCTCGTACTGGCGGGCGGCGGCGCCGAGGCTGAGGATGAGCAGGATGTACCAGGGCATGCGGACCTCGAAGAACATCTTGAAGTCGAGGATACCGAACATGCGGGGGTTGAGCTCGGCGCCCATGAAGAAGTCATAGATGGGGTAGCCGGTCATGCGGTGCTGCTTGCCACGGTAGAGAGCGGAAAAGTAGGCGACGAAGGCGACGATGAAGCCGCTGAGGATAGCGACGGACAGCAGCGGGCCAAACTCGTCAATGGCGGTATAGATGGGCCAGATGCCGGTGACGTGCAGGACGGCGAGGACGGCGAAGGTGAAGTAGAAGCTGGCGTAGGCGTTGCAAAAGTAGGGCAGCTGCTTGCCACCAAGGAAGGGCAGCGGCTTGCCATACCCCCAGACGCCGGGGAGCAAGCAGTAGCAGGCTCCCTCGAAGACGAGGTACGACCAGTACCAGATCCAGGCGCGGGCGTGAGGGAAGGCGCCCGTGTAGACGAGGCCGACGAGGTGGCGGCCAAAGTCGGCCCAGCTCATGCCGGGTTCGCGCGACGGGAACTTGCCGTCATAGTAGGTGGCGCCCACCCACATGTACCACATGAGGACGGGGAAGAAGAGCATCATAGACAGGGTGCCGACAGAGCCGCCGAACTCGAATTCGCCCGAGTAGTCGATGCGGGGGTCCTGGCCGGGCTTCCAGCCGTCAACGACGCTAACCTTGACGTCTGTCGTGGCATCGGGTGCCGTCGACTCGGCGCCGCCGTTAGCGGGCTTGGTCTTGCCGTTTGCCATGGTGCTGCTAGACTTGGCGGGCGTGGTCTCTTTAGGTTCGACGGAGTCTTGCACCGGCTCGTCGTCGTCGTTGGCGTCGTCGCTGGCGTCTTCAGACTTGGCAACGGCGCGGCGGCGGACGGAGCGAGTGCGTGCGGTTGACTTGACGGGAGATGCCGGGGCGGGTGATTGATTTTCGGCGTCCGATGTCTCCGGCGGGAACGAAGTTTGGCGTCGTGAAGAGCGTGTCGTCTTCGCAGCGGTCGTCTCTATCATGCCATCGAAGAGCTCCTTTTTCCTGCAGATGTGTGTGTCAGACAAGCAATCGTGTCGCACCGCAGAACTCGGGCGGAGGGAGTGACAAGGCAAAGGGAAAGCAAAGAGAGAATGAAGAAGCGCAAGAGAAGGAGGAGGAATGGCAAGAACGTACCGTGGTGTTGCTCGTAGGGAATAGCGTCCTGACATGATGAACAGGAAGGGGAAGAGACGTCTTTTATGATGGGACGCGAGAAAAGTGTGAAGCAAAAAGGGAAAGGACAAAAAAACCGGACCAATTGACGGAAGCCCCGAGCGATCCGTGGGATGCGGACTGCGAGATGCGCCACGGAGAAGCGAGAGGTGTGGGCAGAGGAGAAGAGAAAGAAGAAAAAAATAAAGAGAGGTTGCCCACAGCTTTTTGCGCAGGCCAAGAGATGAGATTGAGAAGAGCGCGCGATGCGGATACGCGAACAAGGGGTTTTGGATGTGAGGGAAGACATGTTATGTCATTGGCTGAGGAGGAGGTGAAAGGTGGGCATTCCAGGGGGGGATTTACATCGGTTGGGTGCCGCTGTTGATGGTGTACTTGGTGCGAATGACCAATAGTGCAGTGTTGATTTTTTGGAAAAGGGGGGTTTTTTTTTTTCGTCAACATCTTTTGCTATATCTTTGTATATTCTCTGACATGTTGCTGTACTACTTGGACAAGTTCCAAGCCGATGGGATTCTGAGTGCAGCCGTGCTTCTACAGTGGACTGGTGCCTGCGTTTTAGTGCGTGAACTTGCCATTCAGCACCTCGCTGCAGCGCCCACGGAACCCGAGAGTCCGTTCGTTGACAACGACCGTGGGGGGTCGTCAGGGGTCAGCCCGCCAGGTACCGATGCCACGGAGATTTGGCTGACCAGGTACATTATCCGAGCGGATACGAGGACGACCGGTAACCGTTGACAGTTCAATGATATCATGCATACATGTATGATGCCTCAATTGATGGCTCAGAATGTGAAATATATAACTGTAAATAATGTACTGAAATTTTAATGATGGAATGCCGACACGTGTCAACGTACACATACAAATATGAAAATAGGAATCAAGAATCACACGATATTCACACACAAATTACCTCCCAACCCATCAACCCCACACCAGCATTTTCCTTTTCCCTTCCAACCCAACCCTTACTACGTTAGTACTCGTAACGGAACGTCGGGTTCTCCTTGTCCGTCATCCGCGCCCACGCCTCCTTTTCCATGAACTGGTCCTCTGTCTGGCGCGCGCGGCTCGCGCGGCGCTTGTTCGCCCACACGTAGTACCCGAACAGCGCGACCGTCACGAGCGCGCTGCCGGCCTGCGTGAAGACGAGCGCGAGCTTCGCCGGGCGGTAGTCCGGCGCGTCGCGCGCCTGGAACGTCTGCGGGCCGATAATATTGCCGATGGAAAACGCCGCGCTGATCGCCGCCACCGAGTACGCGCGCTTCGTCGCGCCCGCGACGTTGGCCATTAGCCAGTTGTACTGCATCGGCATCGGCGCCACCACGGCGTTGACCAGGTACACGCCGGCCAGCAGCCCCGCGTGGTTGCTCTTGGGCAGGAAGGACATCAGCGCGCCGCCGAGGATGGCCGGCAGGATGCACGCGAGGATCCACATCCAGCGGTGCGAGTTGCGGCGCACGCCGTAGCCGATCATCAGGATGAAGAAGATGGACACGGCGCCCGAGGGCGTGTTCATGAGCGCCGCGTGCTGCGAGTTCTGCGCGGGCGTCTTCTTGTTGTCGTGCGTGATCTGCCCGACGAGCATGACCGAGTAGGTGGTGATGACGCCGCTGGACACGGAGAAGAGCACCGTGATCAAAATCTGCAGCCAGATCTGCACGTCCAGCAACCCCTCGAGCAGTTCGGCGAGGCGGAAGCGGCTGTTGCGGATGCCCGTCTGGTTGACGCTGACGTGGCGCAGCAGGGCGACCTTTTCGGCGGCGGACATCCAGCGCGCCTGCATGGGCGTGTCCGGGATGAAGGCGACGACGGCGAGGCCGATGAGGACGGTGACGCAGCCGAGGACGACGAACATGACGCGCCAGCCGGCGAGGGCGGCGGTCGGGCCGACGTGCTGGAAGGCGTAGGAGAGCACGCCGCCGATGATCTGGCCGAAGCCGAGGCCGAGGTACCAGAAGGAGAAGCGCGGCGCCTGCTCGGACTTGGTGTACCATTGGCTGCTGATGAGGGCGAGCGAGGGCGCGATGGTGGCCTCGAAGATGCCGAGGAAGATGCGCGAGGCGAGGATGCTAGGGTAGTTGTGGGCGGCGGCGCCGCAGGCGGTGGCGACGCCCCAGAGGGTGACGTTGAGACCGAGCCATTTGGCGGCCGGGACCTTTTGCAGGAGGTAGACTATGGTGTGTGAATATTGTGGTGGTGGTGGTGGTGGTGATGGTGATGGGTAAGAAGCTTACTGTTGGGAATCTCAAAGCAGAGCAGACCGACAAAGAGAAAGGTGGCGACGTTGGAGAAGCGGTTGCCGGTGAGGTCCAGGTCCTTTTTGATGCCCATGACAGCAGCATACTGAGAAACGTCAAATTAGAGCAAGTACTTGGTAGCTACATGGTCAAGTCAGTTGTCGGCGTGGAGACTCACGTTGTAGATGACCTTGTCGAGGAACTGCATCGTGTAGCAGCCAAACATGATGGGCACGATGCGCCAATCGATGCGTCGGCGCAGTTTCTTCAGGTCAACGGCGTCGACGCCGGGCACGTCGCGGTGCTCGTCGAGGAACAGCCAGGCGGCGTCGACCTCGGTGGAGGTGACGGACGAGGCCTTGCCGGAGGCCGGGGCGGCAGCGGGGACGGCGGCATTATCGCTGGTGGAAGGTGAAGAGGAGCTGGCGAGGCGCTCATTGACCTCGAAGCTCTTTTCCTCCGACATGGTGGGTGGTGATGTTGTGTGTTACCGGCTTATGTGTGGTTGCTGGGTGGTGTGGTATGTGCGTGTATGTCTCGGATGCTGGCTGCACTTCACCGGGAGGTGCAAACGACAGGGGGGAGGAAGCGTGTTTACGTAGTAAGAAAAATGGCAAAAGAGGGAGAAATAAAATAAAAAGGGATATGCTGATGGAGGGCTCAAAGGCCGGGAGTCCTGTCAGTCTCACTCTGTTTTGTCGTGTGGCCCCGTGGACTCTTCGTGTTACCAATTGGGACTCAAGGCGGAAATAAAAAATTCGCTTCCCGAAAAAACGAAAAGACGATGAAAGAAGAAGACAAGATGGAATACTAGCTGGAGAAGAAGGCCTGCGTCTCCTTTTTGTCTGGGATGAGATTTTATTCCCCTAGTACGTGGTCTGTTTTTGCGGTCCGCGGGTTTTAGCAGGAGGAACCTTTTTAGCAAGCCATCAAGTCTGATCAATTCCGGTCAAGCGGCGGAGGACCACGCGGCGGGCTGCATTTATTGATGCAAGGGTACGGATGTGCATTGGGAAGCAGGCAAGCTCGAGGCTCGTCAAAAGGAAAAAGATGGGGGATGGGCATCGACAAGAACCGGCTGGCCCTCTCTTCCTCCACCATCGAGTTATCTCATCCGCCGGGGGCCCCCCTTTGGATATCTGGATACCGACGGCGCCGTAAAATAGTGGGCGGTAGAGGAGGAAGTTGGTGAAATGATTGAGACTAGGACGTTAGCACCAGCGTAAACTAGCCTGAATACTGATAATTTCCCGTTCGTTGGAGGAGAGAGAAAGAGGAAGGGTGGGTTGCGTCGCATAATAGCGGAGGAGAGGCAGGCAAAGCCAGCAAAGAGGAAGCCGGGAAGTGGTAGGGATCATCCGTAGAAAGCGGGCCGCTGGAAGAACCCAGTGGCGTTCCTTTTACGGCGTAGGGCCAAGTTGTTTGCTCTTCTTACCAGACTGCCAACGGGGGGAGGGGGGGGGATGCATTGAAGTTACAACTCACCATCGACAGTGGACTGACAGTGGTGCCCTCATTTCCACGCGGCCGTCGCCCGTTGGCGGTGGGACTCTGGACTTTTGACCATGCAGTGCAATGCAGTGAAATGCAGGCCATGCAGTGCAATGCAGGCCATGCATCGGCGGCGGGCGTCCGGCGGCCTTGCCACGTTGTTGTTCATGTCGTCGTTGCGTGCATCGACAACCAGAGACACTTCCTGCTGGACGGCGTATTACTGCGACATCTCGAGGCCACCGTTTCCGAATTGTTTGCACGTCTCGGGCACTTCATGGCTCATGTCCCTACCGACAATCTCCGCCTATTTCTCCGTCACGGGCCCGGAGTTGAGCTGGCCTCGTCTTTGCCAAGACCACCGAGGCCGGTCCACCCAGCCTGGTGCGAATGAATTATACCTGCCACGCTCCCGAGTATATAACTACAGGATCATATTATTACTAGCTAATTAATATCCTTGATACTCCGTAGTTAGGGGAAAGAAACTTTTGGGCTTGCCTGGCAACAACAAGACAGTGTACGTGCGCCACCGAGCCTGCAATGTCACGTAACGTTAATAACGAGGGCGCCGTAATCATTAGACATGTCCTGCGCCATCGTCTCATGTGAGAAGAGGCCCCGGGTCGATAACTCAATCTACAGGGCCGTTGAATTGATGAGCCCCGTTCTCGTCGACCCGTTTGAACCCTGTGTGAGGCGTTTTATTTTCCATCTTGTCATCCGCCACAGTGCGCAGCTTTTACGTACCATGAGGGAATAATCAGTGGACGAGGCAAGGACGCCATGGCTACATAGCTAATCTTAGGCCTAGTTAGCGCAGAACGAGAGAAGAAAAAAGAAGAAAACTTCATCGTCGGTTGAAAGACTATTGATTCTTAACTGGATGGGTTTTTTTTTTTTTTTTTTTTTTTTTTTTTTTTTTTTTTTTGCCCAAAGCAATAGTTGGATTTGGCGATGCGCCGGGTGCAGCGAAACAATTGGTCTCTGTCTGGACTGAACTCGGGGCTTTTTGTTTGTTAGTGAGTTGCTTTGGCCCCGTAGGGTTGCCCTTCAAGCCTCCATAGTTGCGCCAAGCGGCGGGCATCCAGCACATCCCATCCACCATCCCATCCACAAGAGATCGATCTATACGCCGCCGCCCTCGCCTTGGTTTTTTGGGGGCATAAAATGGGTAACGCTCGGCAGGAGAGGAGCCAAGGAGGGATGCTGCGACAAGCCATGCCAATGCCGCCCGTCATCCGCGGCCGATGCGACACGCACGTCAAGCGATGCAACAAGCACACCACGCATGCATACATGCGTAACGTACGTCAACACACCATGGAGCAAAGAGAAGAAAAGAAGGGAAAATGTCCCAGGGGGCGTGGTCTTGCGGCTGATTTGCTGAAGATGTGATCGACACGAAAAGCCCACACAATTTTTTTTGCCTGCCTTTTTTGCACAACTCACTTCACCTCACGGCGAACCAGTGAGTTCCCTGGGGGGGCTCTTTTGTGGGCGAAATGGCGGACCCCGAGTGGCGGCGGAGCTACCGATGCTCACTAACTACGACATACATAACATACTAAGGTCAGGTAATAGTGTCATAGTAATAGCTAGTTAATCAGTACTAATACGTGGTCCCAGCTTCTTCCTCGGTCGCGCCTTGGATTTCTCCTTGTTTTTCTCCGACTCTGACGCTCTGTTGATTTCAGTTTCTCCGTCGTGTTTGTTAGTGTCTTGTCCATCTCCAAGCACATGCATCCATACACTGGGTACCTCCGACTTGGCCCGGACTTGCCAGGACAACATCTCGGCCGATAGCAACGCCCCCCGTCACCGTCATCGCTTTGCCTCCTTAATTTTGCCAGCTGAAAAAGGACACGAAAAAAAAAATACATGGTCAAGAAGAACCCTGCCACGCGCCTTTTTCTTCGTTCGCAGCTGCTTCTAGCGTCCGCTCGGAGATGGTGCTTCTACCTATGTACCTACCTTCAGTCTAACCACCAACTTCAACCGACGCCGCCATGCTGACGCTATATACGTACTTTGTCCCTGTCTCTCTCAGCTTCTGTCTCTGTTAGTCTTTGTCTTTCTCTCTGCTCCTCAGACCTGCCCTTATCTCTCGCCATAAACAACCTGTGGCAAACCAAGTTTCGGCACTGCAAAGTAACCCAAGTAACCCTCCCGCAGTCTTCCCTATTTGCCTCACCTCTGTCTCTCCCAAGTTCCCTCTCCCAACTAGTCCCCCCCTTCTCTCACCACGCAACCCCGGCTGCTGACAACCCGCTCTCCTACGCCACGGCCTTGACCGAGACTGGTTAATAAATCACCGTTGGTCCTCACACCCTGTCACAACACCTGCCCAAGGGACCGGCCTCCAGTTGGTCCATCTTCCTCTTGCCGTGGAGAAACTTGACCTCACTCTCCGTCCCAGCCAAACCAGCCTAGGGCTAGGTACGGACCAATGTGCTGGTAAGCCCATCTGGTGGCTTCTTCTTCTTCTTCGTCACGTACTCCGTACTTCGTAGAGAAGCTACGTAACTAGCTTCCTGTGTAAAGGGCCCCCTTCTTGGTGATCACTGATGGCTCTCTACGTACGAATAGGTGAACTGGATCGATGTGCTTCCTGTTCGGTCTAGATAATCTGCAACGTCTTTTTCCCCTTTTCTCTTTAATCCGATACTCGACACTCCTTATCCCCCCTGGACCAATTCCTCACAAGTAGACACACTCTTGCAAAAATCAGCTTGCATCTGTTAGTCGTCCCCCAGGGTCGCTTCGCGCCGCCACACGTTGGAAGACGCAGGGTCAAGACGCAAAAAAATCTGACATGAGCTTGTCTTGAGTTGCATTCGTCCCCCTCGTGCCGTCGCTTATCCGAAATCCATTGTCATTTCTATATCACTCTCTGCTATCCTTCACACACCCATTCTTCCGACCTCCTCCCCCCCCT